ACACACGTGGAGGGCATGTTTCTTAGTGACCAGGAAGTAGCCGAAATGGTCGTTGCTTCCAGAATGTCTGTCCCTGCCCAGTACGATTGGCTCGTCCCTTCTCCGGTCAAGAGCGAGTCATTCCAGGGGTGAGTGTGAGGCGCCTCTGTGTGAAGACAAGGGACGTGTAGGGGCCGCAGAGGCTGCGCATGCGCAGCAACATGGCCAGCGCAGAATGTTCTCGAAGGCTGGGCAAGCTATGTGTCAACGTGATGTTGCACCTGGAAAGGACCTTGGAGATCATGTAGTCCATCCGTTTTCAAACATTGTTTTTAAGATGTTTCTCTAAATGAACTGCAATGTGTGAAACTAACAAAAAGTAGAGCAGGGGATGGGGAGGAGGGCGAGAGCCAGGCTGGGCCTTCCTTTGTCCTGGCCCAGCCCCACCCTTGCGCTGGCTGACATAATCGAGAATTGGCTGTGCTTAATCAACATTTATGCAGTCCATAAAATAGCTCCAGGAAGTCCCTAGAGAAAACCACTGATGCAGTGCACTGCTTTCATTTTGCTACTGAGAAAAAGCATGCTCAGAGGAGAAGAGGTGCAAATTAAAAATGGAAAAACATATAAAAAGCAAAAAAAAAAAAAATCGTTAATTGCTTTTAAAGGAAAACATCAATAAGAACATTTTAAAAATCCATCGATACATTTAACACTGATGTTTTCACAAATTTGGCATCTGAAAGTGGAATTTATAATCTATTAAATTTACGATATTTTTTTAACATTGGATTCACTTAAATCCATTTAATGGTTATATATGGTGAATGGAAACTATAGGAAACTCATCCTTTCAGCTAAACTATGTTTCATGAATAATATAAGCATATTCCTATGTTATGTTTATATCAAGAGAGTTTATTTGTATCAATAAAACATCCTTATGCTGTACTTGCTGTCCAGTCTAATTTCTAAATACAGTTATAAACCATAAGAAATAGTGACTTGACAGCATGGAACTAGTCATTTTAGAGCTTCTGCAATTCTATAAAAATATGTCTAAATAATGTTTGCAAAGTGGATGCAACAATCTAGTTAAGTGCCTTTGCCTAAAGTTTCTTTTCAGAACAAGTCCAAATTTAACTATTCTTATAAAAATTACTCTTAGAAAGTTTTCCTTTGCTTTGACTGCCTGTGTCTATCTGAAGCACTGCCTGTTATTGCCAGGAGCTTCCTACTTGACACTCCATGTTTCTGGTCTGTACAAGATGTGTGTGGATTAAAAGCTTTCAGAGAGGTTTCTCAGCATGTAACGGTATCTTTTTTTTTTTTTTTTTTTGAGACAGAGTCTCGCTTTGTTGCCCAGGCTAGAGTGAGTGCCGTGGCGTCAGCCTAGCTCACAGCAACCTCACACTCCTGGGCTCAAGCAATCCCGCTGACTCAGCCTCCCAAGTAGCTGGGACTACAGGCATGTGCCACCATGCCTGGCTAAGTTTTTCTATATATATTAGTTGGCCAATTAATTTATTTCTATTTATAGTAGAGACAGGGGTCTCGCTCTTGCTCAGGCTGGTTTTGAACTCCTGACCTCAAGCAATCCGCCCGCCTGGGCCTCCCAGAGTGCTAGGATTACAGGCGTGAGCCACCGTGCCTGGCCCACATGTAACGGTGTCTTAACCATGTCCCAAGTTAACAGAGAAAAGCAAAACCCAAAGGTAAATGGGATTGGGCAGTAGACATTTATGACCTTAAGCCCCTGCTGCCCTGTGTGTTAAAATCAGAACAACTATACTCACCTGAGTTGGCTGTTATGCCACTGTCTCTCAGTCGAAAGCCACCTTTTTTTATTCCCTGCTTTGTGATGTTAGGATGGGGACTCTGAAAACTGCATTTTGACTTCGCCAGCTCTGCCGATGGGGTCATTGAGGGACATTGAAGGACATGGGAAGGCAGGAGGAGGAGGAAGAAGGGGCTTGCTTGCTCCTTCCTGTTTGCTTCCGGTTTCTGTCAGCATCATGATCCCAGCAATGATTTTTTTCTTACAGCAGTGGCTGCTGAATTTCAGTTTCCAGAATCTTTCCCTCAAACCCAGCTTAGTGTGTCCCCCATAGAGATACCAGCAGCAGCTGGCCAGAGCCCTCTCCTCAGAGGCCTGGGTCCAGCTGCCTGGGACCCACTTCTGAATTTCTGAGGCATCAACACCAGTCAAGCTGACCTTCCCCTCACGGCCTGGATCCCAGCTCTGCTGAGCCCTTTCTCTGAGCCTCTGAGGTAGCCACATCAGCTTCTAGGATCTCATAACTCTGCCTCCCCCCTTGCTAGACTGCCCCAGGAGCGCTAGCTGTTCCTTGCAGTTCCTATCTCGATGTTATCTCAGTGTTACTCTTTGGTCTTTTCAGTTCTCAATACCAATTCCTTATAATAAGTTCTCTCAGTCAAAAAAACAGCTGATCTGGTTTCTGATTTCTTGAGTGAACCTTGATGAATACTAGAAAATCCCAGGACACAGATGCTCAAGACGGGATTCTGAACTTAAGCTTGGTCATGCCTTTGGCTTTGAACACTGTGCTGACTCCTAGTGCCACCATGATTAATCAGTAATGCCTACGGTTGATTACAGTGAAGTACCTACTGAAGTGCGTGCCTTTGGGGACCAGATGGCTGCTATGTTTAACCACTGTGATTGCAAAGGTCATGGGAGGAGATGGCTATTTCTCTGTGCACTGGAGTGCTTACAAAACAAAAATGACCAGCTCGAGACATGGTTAGAGAACTTCTAAGGCACTTCTAAAAGAATCTCTTAATTCTTTTAGCTGCCCTGCCCCATGCATCTTTACAATGCAAGTTGAATTCACAGCCTTGCTAAGTCTTCAGTGTGAGATTAGGACATTGGTTGGGAAGGAGAGAGATCCTGAGATGTAGAATAAGGACGTCTGGGTGAATTAAAACAAAACAGAAAATCTATACTCCCTCATCCAAGCTTCTACATTCTAATTCTATTAATTCCAAACTTTGCCCTTTTTTCTCCAGTGCTAGGAAAACTACTTCCTGAGCTATAACTGGGGGTTCTTCTTTTGCTTTTCACTTCTCTAATACTTGTTTAACGAATCTCTAACATTAAAATCTGTTGAAACAAAAAAACTGGTCTGGTTTCTGTTTTTCTAACTGAACCCCACAGACACACTGCCTCATAGGTATATTGTGAGGCTGAGACAAAGTTTATATAGCACATAGCCCAGTACAGTGCATCACACCCAGAGGGCACTCACTCAGCAATAGTAAGTAGTGTTCTACTGCTGACCACATCTCTTCCCTACTGCCTTATTCTACTTCTAATTGGGTAGGTCATGACTTCCCTCTGAACTTATTTATAAAATGGGTGTAGTTTCTCTAAAACTTGGGGTTTGTGTTGAGAGGATGAAGGAGAACATCAATCAACTTTATGAAGAAACGAATTACTGGGCTAGTACTCACATCTCACAGGAGTTCATAAATACTGAAGCCACCATCTGGTGCTAGGTGACTAGTAAGGCCTCCTGCTCACTATTGATAAGTCATAAGAACACTTTCTGGAAGAAACCATAGCTATTCTCTGTTATGAGGCATTCTTAGCACAATCTCCAAAATGAAGCGCTAGACCCTTGGCATCATTAAGGATTGTTCTTGGTCATAGGAACCTATGGGACTAACAGCCTGTGTTGATCTATAAGAAAAGAAAAGTATGCTAAGGTTGCAGATTCTCAATGATAAGGTGATCATTGCACAGAGGATAGAAAACCCCAAACTCCTGTAACCCCCAAGCTTACAGCCCCTTTACTACTCTGACATACATCTATGAAATTCCAAGGTCCAGGAGTCATCAAGTCATCAGAATAGCCCAACTTTAGCAGAAGCCTGAGACCAGAGAAGGTGACAGCTTCATCTCATTTTGCTTGGTATAATCTGTGAGAGGAAGTGAAGAAAGACAGGAAGCTTTTATATCCTGCTCTTTCTTTTCTATGGCAATCAAAAAAGTTAAAGTGCAGTTTAGCTTACAACAGATAGATGTTCACACACATAAATATACCCTATTTGCCCTATTTATATATATATATATAAATATATATACACATACACAACATTCACAGTCTTTTTTCACAAAATAAACATTTTAGCAAACAAAAATAAGTTAAAATATACTTTTAAGAATACAGATAACAGTTTGGGTAGGATGAATTTGTATCTAAAAGCCTGTAATTTATTATTTTGAAAATCCTGATCCAAGGATATACATTTTTTGAGTTGAGCAGAGAACATTTACCTATATTTTTCATTCTGTACCTCTAAATCTCATTTAGAATTTTGAATTAATGTTATAGTACCCAAGTCAAAATAATTTTTATTTATCTAGTTAGATTTTCTCCAATGAAGAAAGAACAGATGCACCTTAACTTAGGATGGAGTTATGTCCCTATAAGTAAGTCAAAAATATCTTAAGTCTAAAATGCATTTAATACACCTAACCTACCAAACATCATAGCTTAGCCTACCCTACCTTAAATGTGCTCAGGACACTTAACATTAGCCTGTAGTTTCTACTGAATGCATATTACTTTCACACCATCACAAAGTCAAAACTTGTTAAGTAGAACCATCCTAAGTTAGGGACTGTCTCTAGTGAAAGGAGGTGGTAGTATATACCTACCAGAGAGTTTTTGTGTTTACCTCTATTAAATAAAGATATTAATAGTTAAGAATTCATAACTATATACCAGGTATTGTATACAGCAGTCCCCTCTTATCCTCAGAGGATTCCAAGTCCCCTGGCAGATGCCCAAAACCAAGGATAGTAGGAAGCCTTATATATATTATGTTTTTTCCTATGCATACCTATGATAAAGTTTAACTATAAATTAGGCCCAGTAACAGATTAACAATAATAACTAATAATAAAATAGAATAATTATAACAATATATTGTAATAAAAGTTATGTGAATTTGTTCTCTTTCTCTCTCAAAATAACTTATTGTACTGTACTCACCCTTCTTCTTGTGATGATGTGAGATGATAAGATGACTATGTTACGAGATAAAGTAAGGTGAATGACCTACATAAGATAAAGTAGGCATCATGGATGGCATGAGTAGAAAATTCCAGAAATAATGTATAAGTTTTAAATTGTGTGTCATTCTGAGTAGTATGATGACATCTAACTGTCTCAACTCTGTCCTGCTGAGATTGCCATTAGTCACTTAGTAGCCACCTCAGTTATCAGGTCAACTGTCCTAGTATGATAGTGCTTGTGTTCAAGTAACCTTTATTTTACTTAATAATGGCCCCAAAGTGCAAGAGTATTTATGTAATATTTTCAGACCACAGTTGACCAGGGGTAACAAACTGTGGAAAGCAAAACTGCAGATAAGGGAGAACTACTGTACTAAATTACATCTAGACTTGTATACCATGTATCACTGGTTATGTGAAATGGCGATATATTATTTATGTATTGTGGTAACATAAAGTCAAGTTGCTGTCATAGTAACTTCAAGGCGACATCATTAATCCATGTATATGCAAAGGCTTTCCCAAAAATCTTAGTAAAATTTTAAGTTTTAATAACTTTAGAAATATAATGCTACAAACTTACATATGAGTTTCAGATGAACTTTATTCACAAGTGTAATTATTTACATTTATTTTACATTTCTATATAGCTTTGTTTATTTTGAATAATACATTTTTAAATTTTAAGTTTTCAGTCCTTCTGGTTGAAGGTGGAAAATATTGACTGAAACAAGTCTTTTGGGACAACTTGTATTTCCAATCTGGGCTTATTAAAATGTTTAATAGGTAACTTCAAGACCCTGGCTGTGGCTGTCATGAAGTTTGAAAGACAAAAATGGCTGGAAATAACAGTATATTGCAGTTCTAACAACAAAGAACTCTTATTTAGCTTTAAGTTGAATTTATTCAATCACAAACTCATAGAAAAGTTGGAATTACCATAAAAATATTTGTTTCCTGAACCAGTAGGTAATTTGCCCACCTGAGGCCCCACTCACCTTTTGATGTGTATTTCTTACAACCAAGGATGTTTTCTATGTAAAACAACATAACCATCAAAGTTAGGAAATTAACGATGATATGTTTCTGGTATATAATCCTCAGACTCCATTCAAGGTTTTTCACCTGTCCCATAATGTGCTTTATAGCAAAAGGCCCCAGTTCAGAATCACACGTTATATTCTGTTGTCACGGCTCTTTAATCTCCTCGTCTAGAACAGATCCTCCATCTTCACTTGACTTTCACGACCTTGACATTTTGGGAGGTGATTTTGTGGCATGTCCCTCTGTTTGATGTTTCCTCATCATTTGATTCATACTATGCAGCTTTGTTAGAAATATAACAAAAGCGATGCTGTATTTTTGTTATTTTGTCTTATCAAATAGAACAAAGTTTTTATTTATCCCACACCTGTGATGTTCAAAATGATCCTTTGATTAAGGTGACATCTGCCAACTTTTCCACTGTAAATTACTCATTTTGCCTTCATAATTAATCAGTATTTTGTAGCAAATTACTTTGAAATTATGTAAATATCCTTTTCCTTATGAACATTTCAATTTATTCATTATTTAGATATATAAGTACAGACTCAAGATTTCCTATTTTATTCCCTTACTGTCTTTATTATTATGATTCTCAAAATTTCCCAGATTTGGCCAGTAGGGTTCCCTTCAAGCTGGCTTTTTGTGCCCTTTTGATATGGTCCCATCATTCATCAAACACTTCCTTGCTTTTTGGTACAAAAAGATGTTCCATTTATAATTGTCCTTTTCCTGTCCCTGCCCTGTTCTTTTAGTGCAGAATGGCATTAGAAGCCAAGATCTGGGCAGTAGCTGTGCTCATTGTTATGAGAGTTGTCTTAGCTTGAGCTGTTATAACAAAATACCGTAGACTAGGTAGCTTGAGCAATCGACATTTATTTTTCGCAGGTCTGGAGACTGGGAAGTCTATTTTCAAGGGGCTAGCAGATTCATTTCCTGATGAGAGCTCTCTTTCTGGCTTATAGACAGCTGCCTTCTCTGTGCTCAATGGCCTTTTTTCAGCGCATGCACATGACAGTAGAGAGAATGCTCTGATGTCTCTTCCTCTTCTTTTAAGGATACTAATCAGATCATGGGGCTCCAACCTCATGACCTCATCTAATTACCTTCTAAAGTCTCTACCTCCAAAAGCCATCACCTTGGGTATTATAACTTTAACATGTGAATCTTTGGGGGGACACATTCAGTCCATAAGAAGAGCATTATTGCCCCCAGACCCTCTTAGTGGAAAAGCTAGGGTCTATATCTATATCGTCTCGGTCTATCTATATAGAGAGAAATGGAGAAAGAGCAAAATATATCTATACACATTTATAAATGTTTTATACACTTTGCAGATATTTATAAGTCTATCTATACATTGAAAACCACGAGTCCACACCAACACCTCCAATTCCATTCCAAAAAAGAGTTCCATCTAGTTTCCTCCTTTTATATATTTATAACTTCCTTTTCCAAAAGTGAATCCTATCATCATGTATATACTTTCTTGTTTGAAGGGTAAGCAACTTCCCATATCTTCCTCACCCTTCCCTAAGTGACTTCCCTCTTTAATCTTTTCAGATTCAGATTCAGTCTAGCTACCTCATGCTAGACTCCCCATCCCCAAATCTGGACATCCTCCTTACCCCACTAGGACTTAAACTGCCCATTCTGGGGGACCCCTCCCTGTTAGATGCCCTGATCACCCTGTTTGGCTCTGACTGCATATTTAGGAGTTATGCTAGGCTGCCCCCTCTCCTACCCCCGCATAGATGTCCTCCTTAACCTGTTTGGCTCTGATTCACCATGTCATAACCCCCTTCCCCACCGTGTGGTCACCCTACTCAGCCTGCCTGGGCTCTGACATCCCACCTGGGCTCCTCCCCTCTGTATGGACCCCCTCTTCACCCCACTCAAGCTCTTATGCCCTACTTTGGGTCATGGAGCACCACGGCCCCCTCATTTCCCACTCATGCTGAATGCCTGCCTTTAGGCCTGTTGCACTTTAGGACTGACATTTATGAAGAGAAAGAAATCAGGCAAGGAGTTATTTAACTCCTAAATATGCTTGTTGTAAAGATTATCTTTGCTAAATCTTGTGGAATTAGAGAGAAGGGCAAGCTAGAGGTCATATATGTATGGTTTCAATTGCTGCTAACCATGTTACGAAATTCCTTGTGTGGGAAGGGTAGTTATATTTACTTGTGAGCCCCCTTAAGACTTTGATTTGGAAATATTAATCCTGCTAGAGTTTGGATGGGAAAAGAATAGTATTTATTGGATCCAAGAGTGGATCAAACAGGAACAGTAACCCAGAGCTGCCTTTTAAATCTTTTAAATCACATCTTACTTTGCTTCTTCATTCATTCCTCAAAATAAATTCCTATATAGATTGGCCCCAGAGATGTAAATTAAAAAATACATTGAACATCAGATTAAAGTTTTAGTTCTTTCATTTAAAGCCAACAATGCAGAGTCACTAAATGGGTTTGGACAAGAAATAGGCTTAAGATTGTGAGGAAAATTTTAATATCTAATTATAAAATTGAAAAAATCATGATTACATTATATATTTTGTTAACTATTTTTAGGATGAAAGCTATAAAGTAATCTGGTTGGGTCAGAGAAATTTTTTTATAGTTGGAGTGCTAATTGACAGGATGGCTTTATTGGTTAATAAAGTATTTATGCCATTTGGACAAATCTGTCTCAGTATAATTCCTGGACTTAATACTACTGCCTTATTGCTATCACAGTAACTAATCAACAATTACTTGTTTTTATACTAAGTGTAAGATAAGGTATAAAAAAATTCAATGCTTCTTTTGAGTAACTAGCTTTATCCAAGGACAAGAAAACTGTGCATAACTTGAAATTTTTTTTTTTTTTTGTATTAACAGGAAAGACTATTAACCAAATATTTGGGCATTTCATTTTGTAGAAACACCTTCAGTACTGTTTAATTACTACAGAAACTAAGAAATAAGAATTTATTTGATTTTCAACATTCTGGAGAGATCTGCCTATGTTCTCTTTTGGCAAGATCAGGAGCGCTTGGCATCACCTGCTACCAAGCATCAGAGCCCTCTTGGCCCAGAGTGTCAGCCTCAAAGTGCACCTGGTGGACCAAGAGCAGGGTAGGGTAGGAAGACCAAGGAGAAAGGATGAGGCCAACCAGGCAGAAGGACACCAGAGGTTGCTGGAAAGAGGAGAAGGGGAGGAGAAAACAGGGGAGTCTGAGGGAGAAAAGGGGACAGGGGAAATGAAGGAGGGTGCCATGGTTTGGATGTGTCCCCCAAGTCCAAGTGTGGGAAACTTAGTCCCCCATGCAACAGTGTTGGGAGGTAAGACCTATAAGAGGTAATTAATCACCTCTTAAATGATTAATGGGTTAGTTACATCAGGAGTGGGTTCCTGATGAAAAGGAAAAGTTCGTCCCCTTTCCCTCTTTTGAACGCAGGCTCTCTCACCCTCTCACCTTTACCATGGGATGATGGCAACAATGTGTTATTAAAAGTTTGGTACTTGTCCCCGAGGCCAAATCAGTGAGAGCAAAGTATGAGGACAACTGGGTTTGAGGAAAGGATAGAGAAGTGTATTAATTTGTCAGCAATTGAGGAGGGTGGCAGACTATCATCTCAAAAGACCAGCACCCCTCCCCCCTTTGAACAGAAACACGGGGCTTTTCAGCAGTTTTCAGCAGTTGAGCTTGGGTCTATGTAACCAATGTCACATGCCATTATTGTTGTTTAACTCTAGTTGGTGGTTTTGGTTGACCTTATCTCCAGTGAAGATTATCTCATGACTGCTGGACAATTCTGTTGAGCCACCTCCTGTGGTTTAAGATACTAGAAAACAAAGAACAAAGGACATTTTTCTGCCCCTTTGATTACTGGCCTCAGATAGAAAAGCAGGCTTTAATTCCCAAAAAGGGTGAGAGGTTTTCAAGAGACAACACGTAATACATTTTGCCCTTCTTCAGACCGTTACCTCTGTTGCAGCAAGAGGGCCCACACCAGACCTGGCCCCTCAATCTGGCCTCCAGAACTGTGAGAAATAAATCTCTGTTCTTTATAAATTACCCAGTCTCAGGTATTCTGTTATAGCAGCACAAAACGGACTGAGAGAGGAAGAGAAAAGCAGTCAAGAGGACATGTGATGACAAGGTTATTTAAAGATGAGATCCATTATCATAGAAAGTATGGGAAATACAGAATGAATGCTTTTAAAAACACAGGAAATCTCACACATGATCATTTGAAGGCATGGAGATGTTTTATTAAAATTTATATTTCTGAATTTAAGGGAAAAAAATTCTCTGACCTATGACCCACAGCCAAGTCTGAGTAGACTGTGCTTTCGTCTGTCCACATGGTAAAGCCCCACAGGCTCCCACTGACCCTCAAGCAGCATCTCTTGTGAAGCAAACACAAAAGCAAACTTTGTATTATATTTTAATTTGTGGCTACCTTAACTTAGACAAGAAACAGGGAAAAAAGCCTTAGGTCAGGGGTCCTCACACTTTTTAAACAGGGGGCCAGTTCACTGTCCCTCAGACCATTGGAGGGCCGGACTATAGTATAAAAAAACTATGAACAAATTCCTATGCACACTGCACATATCTTATTTTGAAGTAAAAAAAAACAAACGGGCAAAAACACCCGCATGTGGCCCTCGGGCTGTAGTTTGAGGATGCCTGCCTTAGGTCATATGTTTTGAGTTTATATTACATCTTGAAAGACTTTTAATTGACACTGTATTTCTCAATATTTACGATATCACCCTGAGGTAGATTTTGCCCCCATTCTACAAAAACAAAAATAAAATGTAAAAAATAATATAACGGATTAAATCATATACACACAAAGTCTAAGAATGATTTCCCTTAGTTGTTCTCTTTTAATGAAGTGTAACAAAACTAAGCCAATCCCCATACATTGTGACGAACGAAAATATTTAAGTTGGTCCATGTTGCAAGTGGGTTTAATTTGGCCAAAAGAAACCACATTTCAAGGTTAATCCCCTGAGTGTAAAACTGTAAGGATTAGCCTCTGGTTATCCTTTGATTACAGTCATATTTTCCTTCATTTCAAGATTCCCTTTTACCCATACTTGCTACTGTCTTTTGACATTATTTTCACTCATAAGCTTTGGTTGAAAGAGTGTCCATTCCATGAGGGAACTTGCTACTAAGAGCTTCAGAGCAGAGACTTCATCTCCGTTTTGGCCTCCCTCACGTGATCCTAAGGGCACTTCATGGATCCTATAGTTATTTGTCTTTTTGTAATACCATAAAGTTCAGTAGGCAGCAAAGTATGGCTCAATGCAGTAGGGAAGAGAAATGGGCAGGAGAAGACAAATTCTTACAAATTTCTGGCTTATTAAATAGTCTTATTCTTTCCTTTTCAAACCTGCTTTTCTTTGGCTTTTCTGTCTTCTAGGGAATATTATTTTTTGGATTTCTGTTTCTTTATACTGTCATCTTATTTCTCATTACTCTTTTCAATATTGAACTAAATAAAACCTCAAGCATTGCAAATCTGTATTTCCCTCAGAAAGAAAGAATGTGCTCTTCATTAATGCCAATGATTTAATATTCCATTGGCCTTCACAACAGAATAAGTGAGACTGTCTTAGGTGAATTTGTTTTTACACGGCATTTAAAGTAAATTCTGTGGGTTTATAGCCCAATAAAGCGAAATCTTCCCCAGAATTATAGCAGTGTTTACAGAATTCTTAGCTATCGCCAAGCCTCAGGGCCAAACACGACAGTATGGGAAGACTAGGGCTCTGACTAGTAAATGTGACTGAAATACAAATAACAAAACGTGTGGTTTTCCAGCCTTACAGAGTATTGGAAGACAAACTGTGAGTAAACCGCATTATGATACTCAAGAGGAGTGCTGAAAGTAGCCACAAGCTACGTGTTTCTCCGAAGCCACTGAGCTATCCTGGCGCGCTGCTTTTTGTTTTTCAGATTTTCGTTCTTTATTGTCTGTAATTTGGCATGCACTGTGATCCTCTGGTGCTCCTCCAACATGTTGTTGAAAAACTGCTGCAGCTAGAAGGAGAGACAGCCAATCAGCGCGATCTAACTTCTCACTTGGACAAGATAAACGTCTCAAGGCTAAGAAGCAACATGATTTTGCAAATGGGAGATGATGATCAGAATGCGTAGAAACGTACCCCCTCGCTTATGTGTCCCTGGGGGACTGGCTGTGACAATGTGATGGACACCATACCCACCCTGAAGAAGTGGTTGTACACTGTGAGAAAACAAAAGGACTTTTATCTGAGGAAGGCAAACCCTTTTAAATTATCAGGCCCAGGGAGATATTAAAATGAGACAGCCATCACTCACATCCTACTCCCCTCTATGAGCTATATATTCATCTTTTGAAAATGCTTGCTATCGCCACAAGTAGCTATAAATTAACCTAATAATGCCACACTGGACACTATAACCCATACCCTAGAGCGTAGCAACGGATAGCCAGTCACTAATCAATGTTATCCGTAAACCAATGAGAATTCCTGACAAACCACTTTGTATCAGCCCACTTCCTGTCGTGCTTTCTTGCCTTTAAAAACTGCTTGTAACAAAGGCCAGACAGATGTCATATCCAAGGTTACTTGGGTCTGAGCCTTCCGGGCAGCTGTCTTTTCCTTAGCTCAAGTAAACTCTTTAAATTATATTTTCCACCTCACCCTCTTTCTTTTAGGTCAACAGCTGGGAGGTCTATGAAGCAGAAACTGTCTTATTCATTGCTCTATTCCCAAAGTACACAGTAGGTCTCAATAAATATTAACTATATGCATATTGAATATTATATAAGATTTATGGATGGAGATACAGTAAAATCCTATTTTTTTTAATCTCAAAAGAAACTTTGATACTTCTAAAGCTCAAAATTGGTGCATAATTTTTGTGTCTTAACAAATGTTATACTTTATGTGAGAATATTTAGATAGCAGATTCATCCATTGGCTAAATTACCTCACTGGGTCAGGCTGAGCATTCAGTTATGGAAACATTTGTCACAATATTACATATAAGTTAGACACCAACTAAATAACAGATTATATTCCAAAAGTCTACTTCTGTGTTAGTGGATTAGACATATATCACCATAAAATGATATTAGTAGCACCCAAGTGAGTTCAAGCTCACTTAAACCCAGATGCATTTGAAATTGAATAGTAAAAGAGCTATCAAGCCTAACTACAATGTAAAAGAAGGGTAAAGTTCTAGGGAGAAGTCGGTTAAGGGGCCAGGAACAAGCCACTCTTTCCTTCCATGCACACACCTGCTAGCAGGTGGGAGCCACGTGCCCATAGCTCCATACCACTGATGGCCTGCCCATCACTGGGCTCCTGCAGTGGTGGAGTGGGGGGCTCTGTGGGATCGTAGGTGGGCTTCATGCATGCTGGAGAGCATGAGCGAGACCAGGCTTCTAAGCAGCGTAGAGCACAAAGATCAGAGCCAGAGATGTGTAGGATAACGAGAAAACCGTGCCTCTGAGAAGGGACGAAGAACTGAGATGACTTCTTTTTCACTTTCTTCTTCAGCAATTATTTTAGATATTATCAAGTGAACCGATGTGATGCAGAACAGCTAGACATGAATATATTGTAGATAAGGATATTCATCATAGCTAATTGATTTGTTTTCAAAACTGCAATAACTTAACTACTACAAAATTCATTTTTGTAAACCATCAGTGACTATAGAGTTTGAGAACTTTGAAGATTGGTAAATTTATACAAACTTCATTTGTTCATTCATTAAACAACAACAACAAAACTTCACTAGATTCTGTAGCCGCAAAGATGAACCAATGCATTTTAGAAGATACTGACACAAGCTCACAAACTGGCGGTGACAGTTTGACTCTGGGAGCTTTCGCTGCAGCACGTTCTGGGTGTGGTATGCCTTTCTCTCTTGTCCAGGGAACCCCTGACAGCTCAGCCTTGGGCGGGCCAAAACCCGAAGACAATTTCTTCAGGAATTAGTGGTTCTCCCTCACTCATGATAACAATTACATAACTGACTGCCTCTCTTTTTTTGGCCTAGGATCAAATTTCAGGCCTTTATGACCTATACATTTATTTGTTTATTTGCCTGGGGAGGGTTGGTCTTCCTGTCTTATTTACACAGGCCCTACTGTTCTTATTAACATAGTTCCAGGCCCTGGTGTTCAATTTTAATAAATTTTATTGGCATATGATTTATGTACAATAAACTGTATCTACTTAAACTGCACAAGTCAATGAGTTTTGACCAATGTATACACCTTTGAAACTACAGTCAAGATACACTACAGTTCCCATTGTCCAAAAAAGTTTCCTCAGGCCCTTTGGTAGTCCATCCCTTCCTCTGTCCCAGGCAATGATCTGCTTTTTGTTCACTATAGATTAGTTTGCATTTTCCAGAATGTGACTGGTTTCTTTTACTCAGCAAAATCACCTTGAGATTCATCCATTTTGCCATAACAAATTCATTCTTTTTTTACTTCAGGATAGCATTCCATTTTGTGGAAATATTATGTTTTCTCTATTCATTCACCTATTGATGGCTACTTAGATGGTTTCCAGTTTTTGGCTAATGTGAATAAAGCTGCTATGAACATCTGTGTACAAGTCTGCATGTAGACACAGATTTCTATTTCTCTTGAGTAAAAACCAGAAAGTGGAACTGTTAGGTCATATGTCTCTGGTTAACAGTTTTAAAAACTGCCTTTTCCCCCAACTGGTTACATTCTGTTTGAATGTAACAAACATGTTACATTCTCCCCAACAGGATAAAAGAGTTCTAGTTGTTCTACATCTTTGCCAGCGTTTGGTACTACGAATCACGCTGATTTTATCTATGCTACTGGGGATGTGGAGATTGCATTTATGTTCTATTCTTGTTTTACTTTGTGTGTGTGCTGTCTTCTTGAAGACATTTGCTTTTTCCCCCTTGTTTGCTTTCTAGTTATAGTGTAACCTTTTTCCTTACAGAACGACCCCTTCCCCATTGTTAGTGCCCATGGTTTGGGTGGGGCTGGTGCCAAGTGTAGGCACATGACCCAGGTTAGACCAATCAGAGTATTTCACCTCCCTTCGATACAGTGATTGGTGCATGTGACCTAAGTAGGACCAACCTAAGCCTTTCTCAGGTCAGACACTTGAAGCTGAGTGAGAAAGGATCCTTCTTGTGCAACTGAGAGAGCTAAGGATCATGTAAGCCTGGAGCTATGCTTGTCTTCTTGCAGAGAAAGCCCACCTAAGAAGAAATTCAACCCAGAGCAAGGCAAAGCCAAGCAAAGGCAAGCCCTGTGTTGGATTCTAGAATAGATATGACTAAGCTGTGGTCTCAGTCCTCAAGGAGCTCACTGTAGCCTCATGGCATAGACGTATTTACACAGTGATGACAGGATAATGTGGTAAGCACTATGATAAATATATTCATAGGGTGACTCAGGAGTGTGGAGGAAGACAGGGTACACAATAGTTCATTAAAAAAATTCCTAGAATTTTAAACCCTTTCCTCTTCTATCTTCCCAAGTCATCCTAGGAATCATCTTAAAGGGTTATTAGGAATGATCCAGCCAAAGACAGGGATGGGGAGGATTCCCCAGACAGAAGGCAGAGTGTTTCTTAAGTCTAGAAAATGTGGAACAACATGATGATTCAAGAAAATCAGCAAGTGGTACAATATAGCTAGAGGAAAAGTGTTTGGGGTATCTGTTGTCTCTTCTGCTCTCTAGCACTTGGTGAGGTGGGCAAAAATGCAGCCAGAGAGTAAGGCAGGGGTCAAATCATGAAAGGCCTCTCTCTTGTGCTGATCAAAAGATTTTAAAATTTCTTCTAAAAACTCTGAAGGGCTACTGAAGCTTTGGGAACAGGGCAGTGACTGGCAGCAATGGGGAGGGTGGGATGGAGGGAAGACCAGTCTGGGACAGGGACCCTGGGCCAGAGCCCACTGCAGTAATTCAGGTGAGAAAGATGAAGTCCAATCTTCCATGGACAGGTGGTCTCCATTGCAGGGGCAGGATACAATTAAAAACACTTCCTTCACAGTGATACAGCACCAATCGAAGCATAGAAGGTAATAATTCAGGTCAGCATATTATTTTTAATTTTAGCAAGTCTAAATTACATAAAAAGTGGTTTCTAAATTATCATTATATTTCACAATATTTACTTACCTCCACGATCTGTAAATCTGTACTTATGGTTCTCCCTATTATATACATTAAAGTAACCAATGATTGTTTTCCATACCTACAAAGCAATAAGATGCCAATCAGGGATGGAAAGCATTTTGCAAGATAAAGCTATATTTTACACAACAGATGAATGCTAAGTATACAGCCCCTATTAATTCCTATCTCTCAAATCTAAGCAAAGACATATATGAACTAGTTTAGCTTCATCTTTCATAAGAATCTATTAATATAATATGTATAAACACTAATTGTGTAACATATAGTTTTAAAAGTTTTTATTAAATGTAAAAAGCACTTCTTAAAAACAATTGTGCTTATATTTTTAAATGAGGTAGTTAGAATATATGTTGCATGTCTCAAATTAAGAAAATATATAAAGGAGTAAATAAATATGCAAATCATGCCCCTTAAAAACAATATTTAATAAGAGATTGATTTCTGAACTGCTAAAACACCCTGAAAGTGTATTTAAAATTGTGTATCTGTGCATGCTTTTCAGACAGAGGGTGCACATCTTCAGATATTCTCAAATATTGGTGATCACCGAAGGCTAAGTACCACAGCTCTACCTGAGCTCCTTGCAAAGGGCCTGGTAATTGAAACTTCCTCTTTAGTTTAATGTCCTTGAATACCCAACAAAAACCATCTAAAAAACAAGCTATAAAGTATTGCTATGGAAAAACAGCAGATACGTACCTGCTCAAAGTGTTGCTGTAGTTAAAAAAGTAATTAAAAGACTTTTGGATGCATTAAAAAAAGAAAGAAAATGAGGTTATTAAAATAGACTGAACAAGAAAAGGTTGAACAGCCTTGACAGTTAATATCACACAATTGGTTTACTTAAACAATATATACTTGAAATTAGAAATCATAAGAGTTAACTTTGGCATCATATACAGTTGTGTTTCCCCAAAAATAAGACCTACTCATAAAATAAGCCCTAGCAGGATTTCTAAGCATTGTGCAATAAAGCCCTACCTCCGAAATAAAGACCTAGTGATGGGCGTGGCTACGCAGCGTGTCTGCACACCATGCATTTCGCCGTGGAGCGGTAAAGAAGACGAGCAGCCTTCTCATCTGCCCATGAGAGCTCTGTTGCTCGACATGAAGATTGGGCCAATGGTTCTAAAGGAAATAGAGTCGCAAGAAATTCAGGATGGAATTCAGGGTTTGGAGAGTTATGATGATGTTCCAGAAGAAGATGACTTACCTATATTTGAATAAATGTAGATTGTTATAGCGTACTAAAAAAAAAATCCCTTGAAAATAAGCCCTAGGGTGTCTTCTTGAGGAAAAATAAATATAAGACCCTGTCTTATTTTCGGGGAAACACGGAAATAAAGGTGAGAGAAAATAGCGCTTTTGTTTTGTTAAGTTTCCAAGTGTAACTTAAGCTGGATCTACTGGAGGAAAGTGAAGACAGACTGCATTTAATTCAGGTGAGCAAACCTGTTTTTATGAAGAAAGAGGAAATATTTCTTAGTTCCCTATTTTAATTGACCAGGTAGAGAAAGCCTGTAAGATGACTCAAGAAATTTGAGTTCCAAAGCAAACAAGTTCCAACCTTAAAAAGAAAAGTAGAAAACAGAGGAAACGGCCCTCTGCTACTAAACATGTGAATTTCTACCAGACCCAGAAGGGTTACCCCAAGAGGGGCTGGGTTTAATGTTGCCTTGGGCAATTTATAAATTGTAGAAATGGCTTATAACATACGTCTAGAAGCCTTGTCCTGGAGATTAAATGAGATAATGTATGTGGAGGCACGCTTCACTCCTTCCTGTTCTTGTCAACTTCAAGAGGAGTTATTTTTGAGCAGATGATTTATCACTCTTATTAAGAAAGCAATCTCTTTGAAGTATTACCAAACAGAAATATATACATTACAAATTATCCTCACCAGTTTATTTGTTGTTGTGTTTCTCTGAGACAGAGTCTAGCTCTGTCACCCTGGGTAGAGTGCTGTGTGTGGCTCATTAGAGCTCACTGCGATCTCAAACTCCTAGGCTCAAGTGATTCTCTTATCTCAGCCTCCTGAGCAGCTGGGACTACAGGCATGTGCCATGATGCTCAGCTATTTTTTCTAATTAATAAAGTTTACTAATGTTTAAAAAATTCAACTGAAAATATACCTCATTAATTTAAATTTTTTTTCTGAAACTGAGATAAATAAATCACATTACATGATTAGCTTTCTAAGTAAAACAAATTTCAAACCTCTGAACAAACCTTGGCATCTCAAAATGTTTAAAAGATATAACATTTAAGTTATCAAAAATTTAGACACTGAGCTATCAAGAACACATTAAAAGATTAGAAATTCTCAGTAGTACTCTCGTAAAGTCAGTAATTAAGAAGTTAACATTTCCTTATTTAACAGGAAGTAAAGAGAGAGCTGGGAATCAGAGCCAGATGACATGAGTTCTAGTTCAGTTTCTTCCATTCACTAGGCATTGACTTTAGGTAAGTTATTTAACCTCTGAATGTTAGTTACTAATCGGTAATTATTTTTTATGTGGTTGTGAAAACTGTAATTATTGCATATATAAACATGTTATTTTTAAAGAACCAACATGAAGGCAAGTTTTTTCATTCTAATCATGGCATTCCAACACTCCTGAGAAATGTTATCAATGTCATAAAATAGCAAATAACAATACTGAGAAAAAGAAATAAACTGATTAACATAGGGATTCATGTAATAAAACAGATATATATCATATCAACCCAGGAAGATATTAATCATAATGAACATTAAGCATTTATTATGTGCTAAGCACTTCAAATAGCCTATTACTAAATCATCTTAACATTAATTATTATTATCCCCATTTTTGAATAAGGAAACTGAAGCTTAGGTTACAAATCTTGTTTGAGGTCACACATTTAGCAGTCTCCTCAACCTAAGACTGACCTGATTCTAGATCTGTGGTCTTAACTCTATGACACACAAGTCTCCAGTGAATAAATAAAAAACTAAAAACACAATAAATACATGGACAAAAGTAAGTAATAAAGAGACACTGTCCAAAATTCTCAGAAGAAGAAACCACCACTTGGCTATACTGCTCTGTGTATGTCTGCCCCCATCCTCCCAATTCTAGAACTGTCCCCAACAGCTTTAACACACTGTCACCATCAGACACAACCACTGTGTGCCTCACATACTACCCCAGGTAGAAACAAGAGAGCACCAATGTAAAGTATATACAGAATGTAAAGTACATAAAGAATACACAAAGTAAAGCTCCTTGGCATGATATTCAAGGCCTGTTATTACCTGTCCTTCTCCCTGACCCCCAACTTATCTTCCCAGTCCGATCTCCTCCTTTCTAGTGCTCTAAGTTTCAGTCCAACAGTTACTGTGACCAGTATCAAGTCTGCCTCCCAGCCCTGCCTCCGTGTATTCCCTGGTGTCCTGTCCTCTATGTAGAAGGAGGAGTTTTCCAGCGCTGTCTGTTCAAATCACACTTCTCTTCCCCTTGAATCCCCAAAGCCCTTGCTATCTCTCTTCTACAGCATTTATCAGACACCGGGTCCTAATTACTTTACATCCCTAACAACAGGTCAAACTGTACTTTGACACAGAAGAACTAGAACTTTTTTTTTTTTTTTACTAGAAAGAACCTTAGAATTTATCAAATACAACATCTGTCATTTCGTAGAAGAAGAAACCAAGGCTTAAATGTTTTAACAGGCAAACAATAAATAGATGTTGTTTTAGTTCCAGTTCCAGATGAAAGAGTTGGAATATTTTGGTTCTCTCCTCTTTTTTCTGGAACAACTGGTCTACTGGCAAAGTGACCCGTTGTTTACATCAGCATACCCCAAGCTGGAGCTCAGGAGAACTGCATCTGTAAGGTGCTAGGTGGTCAAAATGTGTGGAAAACTCAAAATTTCCTTCTGCAGGGCTTCTTGGAGACTTTGCGATGCTAAAATATACTGCAAGTTTGCAAGAGTGAGGGTTAAAACTGTTTTGAAACTGATTGAGCTATTGTCTCACTTCCTCCCAGAAAGCTTGCCATCCTCATCTTCCACAAGTAACATTCGGTAGAACATGCTTGAGAAAAAAACTAACTGAAGTGCCCACTTGTTAGTGATCAGCCAGATTTTAGCAAATTCAGTAGAAATACTTTTCATATAGTTAATATAAAATTTAATTTGGCATAAGCATTTTTAGTTATACTTTTATATTATCTTTATCAGTACATGAGGACTGGTGACATACAAATAATCATGTCAAATATAACTGTTTAGTAAGTGATAATTAAATATTCTGATGTACAAAGAATGAAGTAAACATTCCTGTGCCATTTTCAGTGTAAATAACATTTTAATTTTTAAACTGAATTTCTATTTCCTTCTAATAATCAATAATAATATTACTATCTATTCAAACAAAACCGTTAGCAAAATTGAGCAAGACTGCTGAATATAAATTAAATCCTAAAAATAAATGTATGAGATATAGAAAGCAAATTTATTTGAGTCTGAAAGACTTTTTGTAGCTGAATATGCAAGAGGAATGAACTGAGATGAATTTACTTTAGATAGAATACACATCTATTCGTCTATAATGTGGCATTTTGTCAACTGAAAGATAAAAATATTAGGACATGGTTAAAAGTTAATGCATTTATAATTCAAGGAACTTCTTGGGGATAAGGATGAGGCCCAGTTAGAGGTTAAAAAAAGGAATTTCTTGTATATTCTTACTTAAGACAATTATGTAGACCATTTAAATACATTGTTAGACCATAGACTTTTCAGAAAGGGGAATTCAAGCTTCAGTAAAATGTTGCCAACATTTTCCTGTTCTTTAAATGAAGGAAAGAAATTCTTTTGAGGAATAAAAACTAAAACACACTTAAAGTCATTTAACTTAAGAGCAATATTTCTCATCATAACACCTGTGTTGTGTTACAGGGCAGAGGTACAGGGCATCCCCTAATTTTTTTTTAAATGAATTATTCATTTCAGAATAGCTTTAGATTTATAGAGAAGTTGTAAGAATATCCATTGTTTCTCTTATGGCTAATATTACTATGACACATTTCTCACAATGAATGAGCCAATCATCCTTAATTTTTAAGTGAGAAATCTGTAGGATTAAAAACATGCCGTTATCCTTTATTTTCTAGTCCAGTGACTTCTAGTGGAAGAATAGTTGTCAACACTAGGGATGCAGCATGACGGGACAAGAGAGCTATCCAGCAACAATGCCAAATCCGGGTCTCGGCTACCACCATATATTAACGTCGGGATTCCATGGGGTGCCCAAAGCCACTTTGGGGTTTTAACTTGCACATGTGCTGTGTGTGACATAAGTCTGGAAAGCAATTGTGAATTTGTGTCTGCTGAAGGGCCCAGCAGAGCATCAGAAGGAGCGGAGAATGTGACAGCCTGTGGTGATTACAAGTTAGCTCCTCAGGCAAATCCTGACACACTTTTTAAAGGAACTGTTCTCTCAACGTTCTAATCCCCAAACCTGTGTAAATAATTCTGATTTAAAACTCAACTCCCAAATTCCCCATGGAAGGTAGGGCTTAGGCAGGAGGAATTGTCTTTAATGACTTAAGCAAATAAGGAAGACATAATTTACCTCCAAGGTCTTAGGGATCCCATGAAATGTAAGGAATTGATAGAGCCCTCTGAAGCAATGAACCAAGAGTGGCAGATTTATCTCAAACAGGAGACAAGGACAATATTCTCATTTTGGGGGTTTGTTATATGTGTTCTGCTGATAAGCCAGAGAAACGGTATGGTACAAATGAGCTTTCATTTGCACATTTTCAATTTCTGATTTAAAAACATATATTTTGGTGTAGTAAAGGTATTTAATGTTTATAAAAGAATTATTTTTTCCAAAAGGAAACCATATCCACATTCTTAAAACATTTATATTCTAAATATACTTTTTGTTCTAAAGGGACAAACTTGTTTACAAAAAGTATCTTCTAACTTTTCAGGTCTTTTTAGGTGTTTCAGATGTTAGGACCTTAAGCAATGTTGAGTAATGTTCTAGAAAGACTAGCCATCAAGGGCATGCTGTCTGATTTTTGTATGTTAATGTATATTTTACTCAACAAGGAGGCTAGAAAGTGAGCACATTTAATCTTAAAAGGGAGAAATACAAAAAGTTCAAGAATCCAGCTACATCTTTACTCTGACAAACATAAGACATGAGCAACAGTCAGGCCAGTATCCTAAATGAGTATTGTTGATGCTTAAAGATAGGGGAATGCAGTTCACAAAATAAATAAATGGATAACATACATTCCTACCAAAAAATATGACTTGCTCTAATCTGTTTCTTAAGACAAATTTTTTAGTGGGCACAATAAGGAAACAGAGGTAAGTTAAGTGTCCCAAGAAAATTCATTTTAATTTAGAAAGCCAAAACTAAGGGTAAGTGATTTTCTCTTCCATAACACAGCTAGTTTGCGGGTGAGACTAAAAACAGGAAAAACCGTCACTTTTCGAGTCAAAGCACTTTTGTGACTTAGCCAGACTAAAGCTGAGTTCTAGCAGCAAACCAGTGACCCAAATGAAAGGACGTCTCAGTTTCCTCCTTACCTTTCATCCACAGCTTGCCAATTGTTGACTAAAAAGTCTTTTGCGATATACTGGCCAACTTCAGATGCTGCCACGATTTCAATTATATTTGTTCCATTAAAAGTGATTGCAGATGTGCTGATGGCATATTCCATGTATCTGCCAAAGTGCATTTGCAAAAAATAAATTTAAAAAATCCAATATAAAGAGTTAATTTAAATAAATAGAATTAAAATCCCATGGTTCTAAGTTAGTGATGCACAAATATGCACTGTTTTAATTTTAATATTAGTACATTTCTATTTTTCTCCCTTTAGTTTATTAATTGCATTCCTCCACCAGGAACTTTCAAAGTGAGTTGACCATTATCACCTGAGAAGTATCCACGGGTCTTTGCTGCAGCTCATTGCATAGGCAAGGTGAATCCTTTCTTCTTCCTCCGTTGTGTTAGTGTAGATATTTAACAAGAAGTCCCATTCTTTATCACTTCCCAAGGCAATGGCATAACATAAAATCACACTTTTAATCGGATAAGGTACTCTGTAAGATATAACATGCAATATTTCTCATAGTAGTTAAGTTATATGTTTACCCAGGTTGTCATATATTACAATTTCGATCTCAGATATAAAGATCAAAAGCAAGGATCTAGAGAGACTATTGTGGGAACTGTCATTAGCATTAAATCCATGAGAAAAGATCATCAAATTAGCTTGGAAACTAAGAAGTTTTAAGAAAGAAGTAAATTAGAATAGAACAGTACATATGTTCATGAAGCAGTTTGATCTTGTATGTCATTATCACATTTTCTAAGAATATACTACTTCATCTGAAGTAGTATATTATAGGTAATACAACCAAACTGGCAGAGTCATAGTCTCAGCTCTCAGTGACACTGCAAATTCAGGGAGAGAGACGCTCTGATGCACTCACAAATATAACAATAATAAATAATCACAAAGAACAATCTATTAAGATTCAAAATAAGCCAGGCATGGTGGCTCACGCCTGTAATCCTAGCATTTTGGGAGGCCGAGGCAGAAGGATCATTTGAGCTCAGGAGTTTGAGAACAGCCTGAGCAAGAATGAGACCCAGTCTCTACTGAAAGAAAATAGAAAGAAATTAGCTGGACAACTAAAACATACATATAAAAAATGAGCTGGGCATGGTGGCACATGCCTGTAGTCCCAGCTACTTGGGAGGCTGAGGCAGAAGGATGGCTTAAACCCAGGGGTTTGAGGTTGCCGTGAGCTAGGCTGACACCACAGCACTCTATCCTGGGCAGAGTGAGACTCTATCTCAAAAAAAGATTCAAAATAAATATAAAGAGTTAAAAGTAAGTGCTTATTCGGAGAAAGCACTGAAAATGAGATGTCCTGGGTGAGGGTGACAATTAACCATATAAATTTTAATCTTCTATTGTTATGCACAGACATACACTAAACAATTGTTTAAAAAACAAGATATTTGAGCAGAATAGTAAGAGAGAGAGATTAACCAAGTGAAAGCAAAATGATCATTCCCACAGTGAAAACATCAAAAAGACAGAGAAATTTTTGGTGTTAAAATAGGACAAAAACAGGGAGGATTACAATATTACTCTTACTCATTCTCCGGATGATTCACCCATTTTATGAAGAGTTCTCTTGACAGCTGAAGACAGTCTTCAAGGCCTAACCAACATGCAGTTTCAAAAAGTTTTTCCAGTGATATTCTTCATGAAAAAGTCAAAGAAAAACAGTTTATTTTGCAATACCATCTTCATTTTCTCTGCCTCCAAGAATGCATGTTTTATACAAGGATGGATATTATAAAACATCCTTTCAAAAACATCAAGTTTGTTTTAAACATAGCTTTTGTAGATGACAAATGTATTTCAGATTCAGAAAAATATTTGATAACAGGCTCTTAGGCACCAAAAAAGCTCTTAAGACTAGAATTTTTTGAAAGTGAGAAATAAATTACTGCTTATACTTTATCTCCCCAAAACACACCAGGGTGTACACATACTCCACATCTGTTGTCAATTTATTTTTCCTCCATTTTGTAGTAATTTTCCTATTGATGAAAAGTGACCTTAGCATATTTGATCGAGTAGTCTTAAAACTAAAGTTTTTTCTCTATACCCTTTGCTTTCCCTTGCTAATGTGCCTTTTTCTTCCCCTACTCTTCCTGGCTGTTATATACATGATCAGAAAAAGAATAAAGGTGTTTGTTTTGTTTTGTTTTTATAGCTAAGCAGGGGCACATATTATGGCTCAAAACAAAATAAGTTCAAAAGGAAACAGCGAGGAAGAAGAAGAAATCCAAGTAAGCAACGCCTTGTGGTGCATCTCCAAGTCTGGGGTCAGGGGTAAAGAAACCCAAACTGGCCATAAATTTCCAGAAAATGCAAGGGCCAAATATCTGTTATCCCACCCTCTAGTTTCAACCCACCCTGGCCCAAACTTCTGATAAGGAGAAATGGAATGTCCAAGGGCGGAGGTCCTCAGAGAGATAGTTCTGGGCGTTCATTTACATACTCACTCCCTCCCCCCACCCTTCCCAACCCCAAGCTGCAACAGACAACAAGAACTGGCTGCAATAAGAACGAGAGTCCTGTGAAAGTGCAGTCTAACTCCCCGGGGCTGCTCTGAAGAGAACTGGCCCCAGGATGCCACAATCAGCCACTTCAGTCCAATTTAGGAGATCAAGGATACGTGTGGTTAACTCATGCCTGATGGAGCACACTGTTGCCTTCCCATTCATTCACACAGCTTGCCTCCCCCTCCCAGCACCAGCTAGTCCTCACCGCCATCCACCCCTCGTCCATCCAATTCCATCTCCTTCCAGTCACACCTCGTACACTAAAATTTCTACCCTTAACAGAGAGTAATCACACTTTGTATATTTTGTATTTCCTCCTTGGGCTAATTGATTTGAGCTTGATGTTGACTAGAAGTTGTAAATATAATCCCTTGTACTGTTGTTGGCTACCAATTCCCTCCCTACTTCTGGAAGCCCAACCTACACTCACAAACTCGGGTCACAGGAAGCCCAGCAGTACCACACCCTCATTTGGCCTTCTCAGACCATCATGACAACATGCTTACTCCTCTCACCAAACCAGTGACATGAAAATCACTTGTGATACATACTAATGCCACACACAAATGACTGATACATTTCACTGTCAACCTCTCTTATCTAATTTGCATAGTGGCAGAATTCCTGTTAACAATAACATACAGAAGGGACTCTTCCCCCTGTGGCTTTCCTACGCCCTTCAACTCACTGGTACAGGCTAGTTTTGCTTAGCATAACCCTGCACCAATAGTAGGACACAGAATTTCAACTGGTAGCCTAAGCTTTGAGAATACAGAGCTATAAACTCCTATGTGAACATGTATGTGTTTTGAAGGTAAATTAAGATCTCCCAAACTACTATCTCCTATTAAGGCACATGTAGCCCACCAATCCCTGAGCTATTCTCAAATAGCATACAAAATCTCTCCAAGAATAAAGGGTATTAAGATTTTTTTATGAATTCTAGAAGCCTGTTAATATGAATCCATTTTATTCAATCATCACTGCTTAAAACATACTTACATAGCTAAGTAGTCATCTTGCAATGCTATCACATTTTCACGAATTATAGTTGAATAAATATTCCATATTGAGTTAAGTCTCTTCAATAGATATTTCTATAAACAACAAAGTAAATATACTGTTAGTTTTGGCTCACAACACTGAATTTTCACTGTATTTCCATTTATCCAAAAAGACATTAATAGAGAAGTGGCAGATATTTCTTCAGAAATTATCTTTGTTACTAAATGTGTAACTTTTATTTTTAAACTCTCTAGGTTCAGTACCCTTATACGTAAAATGTGGTTTAAAATAATAACAATGTTATAGTATTATTGTGAAGATTAAATAATTATAATGTATGTAAGCATATTACATGGCACATGGTAAGAACTCAAAATATATTAGCTATTATTATCATTTAATATCATTCCAAACATTTCTAGTTGTCTTCAAAATAGAGAAAAAAATGTAAAAATATAAAATAGTCTACCTTAAAACTTCCATGCTCAGTATATATATCTCCAAAAAAATAAGAACTGGTTTATGCCCTAGACAAATTGAAGTGCTGAGCTTAAAATAAAGTTTCTCCACTTGAGCTATCAGCTGGTACATACAAGATTATAAAAGTTAGATATTTACTAATATACCCCTAAGAACAAACTAGGTATTATTCATAGAAATTTTTCCCCCCAGTCCCTTATCACTATACAGAATTTTTTAAAAAATAAATACTAGGGTTTTTTTTGTTTTGTTCTATACTTTTGAGACAAGATCTCACTCTGTCACACAGGCTGGAGGGCAGTGGCTCGATCATAGCTCATTGCAGCCTTGAACTCCTGGGCTCAGGCGATCCTCCCACCTCAGCCTCCTTAGTAGGTGGGACTATAGGTGTGTATCATCACACCTGGCTAATTGTTAAATTTTTTGTAGAGATGGGGTCTTGCTATAGCCCAGGTTCATCTAGAACTCCTGGCCTCAAGGGATCCTCCCTCCTCGGCCTCCTAAAGAGCTAGGATTACAGGTGGGAGCCACTGGCCAGTTTTTGTTATACTTCTTTATGTAGAACCAGTCATCAGCCATTATCAATGAGACAACTCAATTCCACAAACATTTAAGTGCCTTCTATTGGTCACTATCCCTATACTCAACTAAGTTTCCATCACTACTTTGGACATTAGAAAAAAGAAAGTCTGGGACTCTGCAATATTTGGATCTCCCCCTCAGAGTGATCCAGAAACTCACTTGAAATTACTCCCTAACACACTTTCTGGTTTGTTTGTGATCCCCAATTTTCTCAAGAGTGCTCCCTAACTTTTGCTTTGATTTTACCTGTGCCATTTTTCTTATGATTACTATCTAAGATCTAATAATGGAACTTCCCCCCTTTTATTAATATGTTTTTTCACTTATGATGGCATGTCATTTCTTCATTCATTAATTCTAATTTCCCTCTTTCCCTTCCTAACATCAAAGCACTTCAAAACTTTTACTCTTTTACTTTTTTTAGAATCTCTGATTTTTAAGTGCTTGTCCTATAGATCAGATTATTATAATTATAAAAATAGGTTGTTAAAAGTCATTCTGTTTGCCTAAAATTCTCTTAGGGAAATAGTTGCTAATAGATATTGTCCTTTAAAAAAAAAAAAAAAAAAGAAGGAGGCATACTATTTCTATTCAATACTTCTGATTTCTGAATAAATTCTTGGTGAAGAGGCAAGAATTTATTACCTTTCCAAAATACACTCATACTCATCTCCTACACCAGGTTTATGATTAAGGTATTTTCTTTCAAGAATATATCATTTTCTTGGCCATTGCTAAGAAAATGAATATATATATATATATATGGAGCTAAAAGACTATTGCTTTGGGAAAGGCCTGTCTTACAGATGCCAGCTAGGATATGGAACGAGGAATAGAGGATTCATCTAAAAACTTCATAACAAAGAATGAAATTACCTTTAATAATGGGTATATATCATAGTTCCTCACATCAGAAACAAGATCCCTGGTTATCAAGTTTACTAGGACTGCATGCCATACTATGATTTCGTCTTCTTCTGCAAGGTACTTGGTTAAATCAAGTGCTGTTTCAATCCCAACGTAATTGTTTCTGTTTGGTTTGAAAAACACACACACTCAAAAAAAAGTTCACTTGCTAAATGATTTGCACACATTTGATATTTGTTCCATGCCTCAATGCCTGACTTCAATAAGGTATATAAACAAATCAAGAAGATAGAAGGTAAAAGTCCCATCTTATTGATAAGATGGAACCTAAGCAATGTTGATAGGCCTTCCATTTCAATTTGGTACTTTCAAATGCCCAAAGTCTAGAGAGCTATAGAAGATCCAGGCTAAATGTTGGACTGATTATTGGGAGATAGAATAGTTGTGCATTTAGTATGCATTCTCCGGAGAGTATAATTTCCACTCAGCAGCTATTAATTAAAACTCATTATCTAATGCTGTGCCAGCTACTAGTGGGCATACCAACTACAGGCATACCTCAGAGATATTTGCAAGTTCGGTTACAGATTGCCACAACAGAACGAATAGCATGATGAAGCGAGTCACACAAATCTTTTGATTTCTCAATGCATATACAAGTTACATTTACTATATTGTAACATTTAAGTATGTAATAGTATTATGTCTAAAAAAATGTACATACCTTAATTAAAAAATATTATATTGCTAAAAACTGCTAAACAATCATCTGAGCCCTTAGAGACTTGTAATCTTTTTGTTGGTGGAGGGTCTTGCCTTGATGGCTGCTGACTGATCAGGGTGGTGCTTGCTGAAGGTTGGGTGGCTATGACAATTTCTGAAAATAAGACAACAATGAAGTTTGCTACATCTATTGACTCTTCCTTTCATGAAAGATTTCTCTGTAGCATGTGATGCTGTTCAATAGCATTTTACCCACAGTTGAACTTCTTTCAAACTTGGAGTCAATCCTCTCAAACCCTGATGCCACTTTACCAACTCTAGTTTATGCGCTATTCCCAATACTTTGCTGTCATTTCAACAATGTTCACAGCAGGAGTAGTTTCACCAGGAGTAGTTTCCATCTCAAGAAACCAAATTTCTTTGCTCATCCATAAGAAGCAACTTCTCATCCACTCAAGTTTTATCCTGAGATTGCAGCAATTCAGTCACATCTTCAAGTTCCACTTCTAATTCTAGTTCTCTTGCTGTTTGTACCACGTCTGCAGGTGCTTCCTCCACTGAAGTCTGGAACCCCTCAAAGTCATTCATGAAGGTTGGAATGAACTTCTTGCAAACTCCTGTTCATGTTGATATTTTGACCTCCTCCCATGAATCACAAATGTTTTTAATGGTATCTAGAATGGTGAGTCTTTTCCAGAAGGCTTTCAATTTATTTCACCCAGACCCATCAGAGGAATCGCTATCTATGGCAGCTATAGCCTTACAAAATGTACTTCTTAAATAATAAGATTTAAAAACAGAAATTACCCAACGATACATCGGCTGTAAAATGGATGTTGTGTTAGTAGGCATGAAAACAACATTGTTTTGCTTGTCCACCTGCACCAGAGCTCTTGAGTAACCAAATGCATTGTCAATGAGCAGTAATATATGAAGGAAACTTTTTTCTGAGCAGTAGGTCTCAACAGTGGGCTTGAAATATTCAGTAAACCATGCTCTAAACAGATAATGCTGTCATCCAGGCTGTGTTATTCTATTTATAGAGCACAAGTAGAGTATATTTAGTATCATTCTTAAGGGCCCTAGGATTTTGGGAATGGTAAATGAGCATTGACTTCAACTTAAAGTTACCAGCTGCATTTTCCCCTAGTAAGGCAAGCAGCCCATTCTTTAAAACTTTAATGCCAGGCATTGACTTCTCTCTAGCTACAAACGTCCTAGATGATTTATTCTTCCAATAGAAAGCTGTTTCACCTACACTGAAAATCTGTTGTTTCGTGTAGCCACCTTCATCAATTATCTTTGATCTTATATCCAGACAAGTCAAACTTTCTACACATCAGCAATAGGCTGTTTTGCTTTCTTATCATTTGAGAGTTCACTGGAGTAGCATTGCTAATTTCCTTCAAGAACTTTCCCCTTGCATTCACAACTTGGCTAACTGTCTGGCACAAGAGGCCTAGCTTTTGGCCTATCTCGGTTTTGACATGCCTTCCTCAGAAAGCATAATCATTTCTAGCTTTTGATTTAAAGTGAGAGATATGCTAGTCTTCCTTTCACTTAAACACTTAGAGACCATTGTAGGGTTATTAATTGGCCTAATTTCAATATTATTGTGTCTAAGAGAATAGAGAGGCCCAAGGAGAGGGAGACAGAGAGAGGGTAATGGATGGTCAGTGGAGCAGTCAGAACACACACAACCTTTATTGATTAAGTTTCCTGTCTTATATAGGTATAGCTCATAGCACTCCAAACAATTACAATAACATCAAAGATTACTGATTACAGATCACTATAACAGATACAGTAATAATGAACAAATTTGAGATATTGTGAGAATTATAAAAATGTGACAGAGACACAAAGTGAGCACATGCTATTGGAAAAATGGCACCAATAGACTTTCTTGACTCAGGGTTGCCACAAACCTTCAATTTGTAAAAAACGCAGTGTCTGCAAAGTGTATTAAAACAAAGTACAATAAAACGAGGTATGCCTGTAGTATATATGACACCACACTTGCCTACCATTGAGGAACTTTAGTGAGGAGTTGAGATTTATAACAGCATAAGAGCATTTATAATAGCATTAACAGCATAAGAAGCTGTTAATGAAAGGTCCCAGAAAAGGCAATGAATAAAATAATGTAGCAAAGAAGGAATATATGCACATGGAAAAGATAGAGAAGTCAGGGAAGGCCTCATGGAGGAGGAACTTGAGATGAGCAATGAAGGATGATAGAATTAAAATGGAGAAGAAGAAAGAAGGCAGCCCAGGACAAAGAAGATAAGGTGGAAGTTAGTGTGATGGGCAGATCAAGCTAGCAAAGACAGGGAATTTCTTTTGTGTACAGTGAGAGATGGGGGCTAATAGGTAATGTGGCTCAAACCTGTGGGGATCCTTGATTCTCAGATTGAAGCGTTTTTATTTGGTGAGAAGGTATTCTAGGCACTTCAACAACTGGAGAAACATAATAATAAAATTGATGCCTAAAAATTTCATTGCAATAGTGCTCAAGAAGACAGAATGGAATTCAAAAGGACTGAAGGCTGAAGGCTCATGTAATAGGCCAGGCAAAGCATGATAAAAGCTTGCCTTAGTGTGGAGCAGTGAAAGTAGTAAGGTGACAATCCCAAAGACTTTCCAAGAACAAGCAGATAAAACATGGTGACTGGCTGTGCATGAGAGATGGAGCAAGGAGAGGAATCAAGAATACTTCTTAGACGTCAAGTTTGGGTGACAGGAAGAATGGTGGTACCTTCACACAGAGGGATAAATTGACAGCAAGAGCAATGTAGAGACAGAAATAAAGTTCAGTGTTTAAGGTACTGAATTTAAATGACCACAAGATAAACATAAGACAGGAGGAAAGATAAGTACAGATGTAGATTTGGAAGTCATCTACATGTTCTGCCACAAATATTTACTGAATATCTTTGTATTGTCCTGGGCACTCTAGAGATACATAATAAAATGGTCACTGAAACTTAAGAATGAATGACTCATCCAAAGGAAAGATAGAAGAAAATAACATAACCTTAATTGGTCTGAAGGATGCTCGCAGCAGCAGGAAGAAAAGAAGTCAGATATATAAGGAGAACCAGGTTTGCATATCAGAGTCTCAGGAAGCCAAAAAGGATGTTTCCAGAAGGATGTTGTCAATAGTATGAAAGTCATGATGATCTTAGGAGCTTCAGCAAAGATTGGCAAGGACATGTGCTACAGGTCACAGAGGGAAAAAGTAATAAAAAAAAAGAAAGACAAAATACATAGACATTTATTCAAGAAATATGACAGGCCAAAGAAAGAAAGGAGCCAGTAGATAATTCATTATATTACTCCTTAATTGTATTGCCTGAAAATTTCAATTTTGAACATTTATTAATTTATCTGATTAAATACTTAACAGCATGGCTTACACTGAGTCAATATACATAAAAGCAATAATTCTGTAACATACTAACATACAGGCCAGATCTCATTAAAATTATACTTACAGCCATCACCCTTGGGCAACAGAAATCACTTCAAAATCTCAATTGACAATCTATTTATTTCTGGCAACTTACTATGTTATAAAATTCCACTATGACTACAAAATTTGATCCTAATCATATTCAGTTAGGGCCTGTATATACTAACGAACCAAATTCATAGTGATGAGGCTATTATTTTTATAAAGTTCTCAAGGTATACTCTAAAACCATCAGAGAAGAAGATATACTCACTTAGACAAGGAAAATGCATCATCAATCAACTGTAGTCTGTGAATCACAGGAATAGCCTGCAGAATGAGATCCAAATACGTGCAAAAACAGATGAGACCATATTTTTTAGTAAAAAGTTTTCAAAATAACAATTTAAAGATCACTGCAGCATGCAAAGCACCTTCACATGAATTATCTCATCTGCAGATAAATAATAATTACTAAGGATAGTCCCCATAATTTATTTATTATACATCTGTTTTTTTATAAATCATCCCTCTGGACATCAATCATAAGGTTCAAAAATGGCAGAGAATTTTGCCAAAATATTCTCTGAAACATACTATGTTAAAAACATGAAACAGGCCACCAAACTTAAAAGGCCTCTTCAAAACAAAAAGTACACATGAAATTATATTACAATGTCCCAATTCTTTTCAGGGGAGTTTTTGGCATAGGTGGCCTTTAATAAATATTATTTAACACTACTCTGGCAATATGAGATACCATAGTACTCTTTTAAATGATATCTGTCTTCTCAAGTGTTTACTAATGTGACAATACTACAAACAGATCCCTTAATATCCATGGAAAGGCAGGGGCCAGTTGTGAACCTAACTCTTTAGCCTTCTCTTTGAACTCCTTAGCTTTCGCTGGGCAAGGGACGCTGATCTCAACTCAGTCCCCTGAGGGTACCCAAAGCCTTCTACATCATTCCTTCAACGCCTCTCTGCCCTTTGATATATTTGGTCCTAGTAAATTCATCTTCACAACATTCCTTTGAACATCTGAGCAAGTCAAGTTTAATTGTTCTGTTGGTAGTAGTCTAATTTCTTTTCTGACAGGAATACTAGTTGCATTTTCTAGATTAATATTAATAATAAAAATTGTTTTATTTGCTCACCAAATATGTTGTAGAAATAATTTACCTCAGTTTTTCAATAAGCAAATCTATAATAGTTTCAAGAAAACATTACTATCATGTCATAACCTAGTGTTTCCATGGCTTAGAGTATCCTTAGAAACTAGTAAGAATTTAGCCACTCTGAAAAAGATTCGAAAAGAAAATACCATTATATGTGATTTTTATAGCTTTATCCAAACTCTCAATAATATTTTCTTAAAAATTACCAAATGTGTTCCGAGCACCTGACTTGTGTCAGGCCTCTGTTAAACATAACACGAGTATCATCTTATTTAATCTTCACAACACCCCTTTAAGGTTGGCCTGTTACACCCATTATGATACAGTTGGGAAACTGAGGTACATCTGGTCAAATGAGAGGCTCAAGGTCACACATCTGCAAAGGATGAACAACATATGAGCACAAGACTTCCTGACCTAGAACCCAACCTCTGGACCAAGATGCTGTACTGCCTCCAGTGCTAGAGAGGCTGCTGCATGCCTCAGAGAACTTTTGAACACGGAAACACTTAAGATATTTTTCAGTTAAACGTCCCCAGTCTTACAAATGGTGTCTCAGTGAACCACCCAAGGGCTCACCGCAAGTCACAGCAGACAAAGACTCCTAAGCCAGCGTCCTTCCCGCCAACGGAGATTTTGTTTAATTCAACCGATTAAACTCTGATTGATTAGAGGTGGCCAACATTTTATTGTTTATACACTGCATAAACGATTTACAGTTATTTCATAATATGAAATGATATTGGACTATTACTGACATTTTGTGGATTAAATTCTCTCTTCTGAGGGAGGGTGGAAATATGTTTTTAGGAGAAAAATTAATATTTTCTAGCATATACTGAGTACCTATTACAGGCTTAGAAATTTTAAGTATTCTTTTACCTACATCACCTCTAATCCTCATGATGAATATGATAGGATAATATTCCCATTTTAAAGTGAAGAAATGGAACCAGAACATTTAAGTAACTTACCAAAGATCATAAATCTAATGACTAATAGGAAAATGTATTCTGATTCTTATTTGGAAAGGTAAAATTGTTTTGGAAAAGCAAATGAATGTTCAAAAACACAACACATTCAACCAAAATCTCCCCTTTCCAAAAATAAGGAAATAGCTCTCTCCAGTATGCCTGGGAGTGAGGGGTGGGAATGAGAGAGTGAAGTCTCTTCCCACTAGAAAGCTCAACCTCTAAAAGGCTAGAGAAGGCATTGTGAATTATATTTAATTAAAAGTATAAAAAATAACCTTACCCTATGATCCTTTTCAAGCTGTTGCTTTAATTTCTTCCAACCTAATTTATCATAATTAACTCTATAATATCCAGTCATATTTAAATTCAAAATCACCCAGTCATGGTCAGAATCTGAAACTTGCATTTCAGGAAATACTTCTACAAAGGAATATGGGAATAGTTTGAAATAATACATTTTGCAAAGATTTCAATATATATTTACTCATAACACTTTTAATTATAAACAATAAACCAATAAAATAAATAATAAAGGAATTCTATAATATATTGATCTTATCATAGAATTATATTTTTTCACATAGAATGGCTTTTGATTTGACACTATTCTTTAAAGCTCTACTTTCAACAACAATATTTTAGTTTTAAATGAGGTAGCTTTTCAAAAGTTAGCCGTTTCAACATTTTATCATTATCCTAAATGCCTTTATATATGTACCCATATGAAGATGTTTTTAAAATTTGTTACTTACTGCTGTTTTTATCTAGCCAGACTAAGGACTGTGTAGTTCCATTCTTTATCCAAAGAATAGGGACAATCCATGTGTCACTTATTGGAAGAAAATAAAAAATTTAGTTAATTTTTCACATGTAAGAATATACAGTCTGAGCCAACATGGAAGAGATGATAACACAGCAGATAGAAGTCAAGTTCTTTGGTCATTCCCTCTGGATATGCAGGACTTGGCTCTTAGGATTACTTGGTGTCGTTTTTACAAGCCAGTTTTGCTTTGGCTATTAGTTTACTCCTCTCTCTTTTTTGTGTGTCTTATGAATTTACTTCTTTTTATAACTTAGGCAGCTACTAAGACTGTCTTGTATGTGAACTCTTCCAGCCCTGTTTATGTTAAATCATAGCCACCTGGCTTCGCTCAAGGCCATCCAAATGCCGCAGACAAACCCAAATCTGTCCGTGCCCAGAGAAGTGAAGAGAAAGCTTGACAAACACTTCAAAATACTTTTCAGCCTCAAGACTGCTCTCCATCTGAAAAGTATTCAACCTGAATCAGCCAGGATATTTATATTTATTGAATGCCCACATTTTTCCCACATTGGCGGACGTGACTTGGACAAAGGAGCCGACCACAGGGAGTACGTGAGTCATCCAAAGAGACATGCCACTCAGAGTTTGGGCAGTCTCTCCAACCATGCTCCAATTCTCCCACAAGCCCGGTTTCTCAAAGACTTTCAACTGTGCGTCTGTGTTTATCTGCACAGCTAAGGTGCACATCTCTTCTCAAAGGGCACAGAATATTACAGTGAGAAGGAAACTTTGAGTCTCCTTTTCTCTCTCTCTCTCTCCCCTGGGGTTTTAAAGAAAGAGTGGAATCACCTGAAAATTTTGATGGTGATATTTGAAAATTAATTACTCATTTGTGCCGATCCTACAATGAGATGTAGTATCGAAATATGTAGATGAAGATGTAGATGAGGATCAAAACTATGAAAAACAGCTAAAAATTATCTAACAAATCAAGAAAGGGAAAGAAAAAAGGAAGTGACAAAGGCCAGGCTATTTTATGCTCATCGTTTCATTTTTACACAATCCCCTGGTATATACGCTATTACGTTTACTTTATAGGTGAGACAACTCAGAGAGTTTAAATAATACCTAAGGTTTGAATTTTGGTGAAGTCAGTATTTCAACCCAGGTCTAACTGATTCTAAAGGCCATAATTCTAATGGAGGTATGGCTACAAATACACAGCACACATGCACAGAGCTACTCTTCAAGGATACAGTTCCCATTCAGTTCCGTTTACAGGGAGAAGACTGCTTTGCAATTGGCCTCCCTCTTCTTTGAACTAACGTGTAGCCACCTGTGGCTCTATCTTACTGCTTCCCACCCAGAATCTCAAGTAATTCATTACCTCTGTCTGAAGGACAAACGGGAATACACAACACCCCAAAGTTTTGGCTGCTGGTGTGGCCAAATCCCAGGGGAGGGGCACTGCTTTGAATCCCTAACTGCAGGTCTCTGGCCTTGCTCAGGACTCTGGTACTCTGCCTTACCCCAGCTCACAGTCGCTTTAGAGAAAGGTAGGTGCCCAGCAAGGGTTAGGCGTCTACACCCATGGACTGGTTTCCACTGGATCAGAACTCGACGCCAAAGAAGAGGAAGTCAAAGAGGAGCAAAGCTACCTACTTGTGGGTAAGAAGAGTCTGATTTCTAAACTTTCCAATGTAAAATGGCTCCTGCTTCATGACACCAGTAGAAACATTTAAAGTGATGACTGGAAAACCACTCTGGTGTGTCCAGCTGTCCATTATGCTTTTTACTGTTGCTGGCAAAAGAATTTTACTCTGGTCATCGATGGCCTGTTTTTAAAAAAATCATCACAAAAGCAGTTCTAGTCATCAGCAAAACCTTTCGAAGTAGCAATCTCCTAAAATACACTGGGTAGCTACTCTGTTCCTCATTTACATGGTGATCCCCAGCGTCGGATATTCTGGGTCACATTCAGAACTCTGTTTATCTCTATTTGCCATTGGTTCTTCCGTGCATCCATTCATTCATTCCCTGAACACATATTTATGGGAATATGGTGAAGACTAAAGACTCCCTGCCCTAAGGGAGTTTCACAATAAGGAAAAGTTGTTTTCCTATGGGACTGCCATTACCCATGAGTTCCCTATCTTGTTGGACTGTATCATATGAAACAACTCAGCAAGAATGTGTCAGAAAGCAGGACAATTACCATTTGAAAATGCCTCCATAGATCATCTTGCTCAGCATTTGAGTAGGAAAATGTCTTCAAATATGACTATAAAAATAGGAAAGTTATAGTTACAATAAATAACATGGCAAAGCACTTTATGCTTACTGCTCTCTAGGTAATAACTATTTTGTACGCTCACCTTGAGTGCGCTGATAAATAAATGTTCATTCAAGAAACTAGAAAGCATCCGGGCCATAGACGCTCCCTAGAACATAAGAAGCTGTCCATTATTTCAACAAAATTCAATATCTACATACTAACACATTCCATTTTCATCAGCAATATTCTGGACTGTGCTCCTAATTGCATTTTGCCCTTTAGTTGAACGTTTGAATTATACCAAAATATGCTAATGAAATGGTAGACTCACTAATTAAGAGGTAAAAGGTGAGCAAATGTCCTGCATATAAAAACTTTAGCATATACAAAATGTTTTGAAATTGAGAAATTTACATGGCAAGAACACATTTCCATCAAACAGAAGGATTTACCTTAAAAGTAGCTAGTTATTAAGAGTACAGAACAAAAGCACATTTGTAAATGCTTTTTACCTTGTTGTAAGTAAATATGTCAAAGAGTTCATTTATTTCACTTGTTTCTGTGAAATTTTCCACCTTTGTGGACACAGCTCTAGACACCAGGGCGTGATCTTCGCTGAGGACACCGTGTAAAATGTTAGAAAAAAAGACCTCGTTCTATAAAGGAAAAGATTGAGCTACATTAACTTCTGAGGTGTCACAGAAACACAATGGTCCTAAAATACTTCAAAAAATTGATACTGAAGAGGGAAAAAATCAATAATTGAGAAGTCTCTGAATCACAATATGCCAAATAAGTCAGGATTCCTTGAATAACAAAACTGTAGGATACTGTCCTTCCTGTTTTGTAGCCTTTTTTATTTCAATTCTTTAAAAAATTAATTACAAAGGTTAATATGTCTTCCAAGTGCCACCTACATTTCCCCTAATGAGGTCTATGGCCACCCTGACGGGGCTTCCCAGTGAATGGCATCTCTAGGTAGTTTTAATCTTCTAGAATTTTATTTTTTTCAGTAACTCCTTAAAATGGAACAGTCTCTCTTACATAGACATTTACGAACCAAAAGCATGCCAAAATTACAAATCCACAAAGATGCTGATGTAATAATTTAAAATTGGAAATAAATCCATAGACTGGACACTACGGTTTATGGCTCATGCATTAAGAAGAGGTAATTTATTATATTTTAATGGGAACTACAGAACTCTCCAAAAGACTTGCTTTCTCTCAGATGCATGACAAGGGCAATTGCTCCCTGAAATAAAGCTAGAAGGAAAACCAATTGATAGCCAAAGAGGGGTTTGGGATGAAGAGCCAGAGCAAAGAAGTAGAGAAGCAGTACAGACATATGTTCACAGGCTAGAGAACGGGAAGGGGGGTGTGTGGGGGGAGGGGACCCCTCATGATCCATGTGAAGCCTCAAGTCCCTAGTGACTCTCTTCAGTGTCTCCAAGGTGACTCTCTCATCCCTCAACAGTGTCAGATTTTCAAATTCTGTTCCACTTCCATTTGCCAATGTTCCCATCAACCCTCTCCTATTAGCACATTATTTTTAGATTAGTAATACCATTGATTAGACTATTACCAAACTTTGCTCTTCTAGAAATGAGAAAACAATATGTCTCAAACTTTGATGTGGATAAGGATCACCTGATAATTTTGTCCAAATCATGTTCTTAGTCAGGTGATCTGGTTTGGAGCCTGTCTTTCTAATAAACGACACAAGAATGCTGATGTTGCTAGTTTGAGAACCACACTTTGAGTAGCAAGGATTTAAAACAGACATCTGCATAGGTTCGATCCTATTTATTAAACCTAGATTTTATTAGTTTAACATTCAAGAGTTCTTAAGACTGTCTCACTGTTGATCTGCATCATCAAAGCACAATGGAGAAAATAGAGAAAATAAAAAACACCCATAATCTCACACCCTAACTATCATTACAATGTTAGTATAGTTCTTTCAAATCTTTTTTTTTTATGTATTTGCTTATTCCCATAGTTGTAAAAACATTTCATCCTGCTTATTTACTTATTATAGCATTTTTAAAATTTTGCTACCTCATCTTTATAACTATCCTTTATAAGGGCTGCTGCATGATTTAAAAAACCCCAGAAATATAAACTGGAAGGACATAAACTGAAACTAAATAATAGTAATTACACAGGGTGGTCAAATCATACGTGATTTTCTTCTTTACAAAATATAGCAGATAAAACTTTTGCAAAGGCAAAACATTAAAATTAATAAATACACAGCTGTATAATATCCCTGTTGGGTCAATGGACCACTATCGACTTAACCATTTCTCCATTATTAGTTAGACATTGAAGCTTCTTCCAACTTTTTACTGTTATGACTAGTTTTAATGAACATTTTTGTACATACTGTCTCTTCCCTATTTTGTGCCTCCTCCCCCTTGAATGGATTATCTGTCTGTGCTCTACCTGCCTGGTATAATGTTTTACATAATCTTTTGGTATCACAGTAACCAAACAAGATAACCGATGAGTAAGGCAAACACTTCTTCCTCAACACCCTAGGGGTCTTTCTACTCTGGGCCTCCCAAGAGTGATGCTGTTCCCAGACTGTTCCAGTTCTGCTGGAGGGAAACACTATATAAAAATGACATCAGCTTTAAAAATTATAATAATAATATATAACCAGTGCATATAGTGATTAGATAAAAATGGATCTGTATACTCACCATTATTTCATCCTGCAAGTTGTGATATCCCAGAGATCTATTTTTATTAAAATCTATTCTTATACTTAGAAATATAACACTATTTATTGTAATGAATTTGTGTCAAATATTATGGTTAAAAACATGGGACTGGCATCGAGCTGCCTATATTTGAATCCTACCTCAGCCCTTTAGGAGTTGTGTGCCTCATAAAAGTCAACCAAATTTATCTCTCTGAAACTCAGTTTTGCCATCTGAAAATGGGAAAAATAATGCTGTCCTTGCTGGACTATTATGAGAATTCAATTAATTTACATAAAGTTCTTAGCACAATCCCTAGCAAATCGGACATGCTCAATAAGGGTTAACTACTGCTGTGATTACTTATCATTGTTTTTATTATTATTTCTTAAGAGTTGCTCTAAGGACTAAAAAGGTAATGTATATAAGATTCTGTAGGTATATAACCAGAGCTTAGTTAATCATAGTTGCCTTAACTGTACATAGCAGATGCTCAATGATCTGTTGAATGACTGCATGAAACCCATTTTACAAATGAGGTTTCATCAGCGGGGTTCATCTGCTGGCCTCAGTTTACAATGATGGTAAAGGCAGAGCCATATCCTACTGGCTGTAGGGCTTACAGGTACCCTTTCCTTTCACCCAGTCTGCTGCTTCCTTAGATCAGGACAAAGAAGAGACAAGAAAAGTCAATGAATGGCAATGTCAGGGTTGCAGCTTCAGGTACCAAGAAACCCTTGGTCCTTAATGTTCTGAACCCTTGACCATGACTCATTCATAATCATGCTTTAATGACTTTCAGCTGAAATTGGACCAAGACATAGAAAAAAATAGAAAATCTATTTCTGCATATGGTTCTGTAACTCCCTTACTCAATATCAAATTACTAGATTAAAAGGAAGCCAAAGTTCTTGATCTCCCGAGAGCACTGAAGCAAGAGCTTAAGCTTTTTAAAAACAGAGCTTGTGAAACCTCCTAAACATCAGGATCTGAGGCTTTCTGGCAAGGATATACTCGCTCAGTTTCACAAGCAACTGAGAACTCTAGGCTCAGAAAAGAGTGATTAAGAAACCAATGATAAAAAGAAATAATGGTACAAAAAGAGACTAATCTGGTAATCTTAGCTTCAAAAACATCAGTAATATGTTTTCATCAAGTTTTGCCACATACTGATAATATCTTAGCCATTTTACTTGCTGTAAGAGGTAACTGAAATTGATAGTAATGATATATTCTATTCAATTAAAAAATAGAGAGTAAATTTCATTGTTTTATGAGAATTTAATTTTTTCCCTTATTGACTCTAAGCACAGAGTTAATTTGGGATAAAATCAAATGCTTTCAAAAAGTTATAGATAGCACTAACCATGTGTGAATAAAAGTTATAAAACAGATACAAATAGTTTTGTAGATACAGAGTATGAGGAAAGGACTTCTGAAAACAACTAACATTTACTGTATGTACATAAAGTTTATATATGAAAAGAATCATATAATAACACACACACACACACACACACACACACACACACATCTTTAGCTCCGGAGGGTAAGAACACTCTGGTGTGTTTTCTCCATAGAGCACAGTGGTTAAAAGCATGGGCTTTGAAGTCACAGAGACCTGAATTGAACCTCAGCTCTGACAATTAGTAACTATGAGACCTTGGACAACTTACTTAATGCCTCTGTGCCTCAGTTTCTTCATCTGTAAAACAGAAATAACAATGATACTCATATGGTTGTTTTGAGGACTGAGTAAGATTATGTATAGAATTCACACTGGCACTTAAGTTCTAAATATTCAGTGACTGGTATGTACAGTATTATTATTATTCTTTTATTTCAGGATATTTGAGGGTACAAACATTTTGGTTACATTTTATGTCTTTGCCTCACCCAAGCAAGGGTTAGAGGCATGCCCTTCCCCTCTACAATGCTCACCACATCCATTAGTTGTGAGTTTACCCCCTACCCCCCCAATCCCTGGAGAATATTACTACCATGTGAACACCAAAGTGTTGATCAGTCAGTGCCAATTTGATGGCGAGTACATGTGGAGCCCATTCTTCCAGTCTTGTGACACCCCACTTCGGATAATGGGCTCAAGTTCTATCCAGGAAAATATAAGAGGTGCTAGATTACTGTCATTTCTTATAACTGAGTAATATTCCCTTGTATACATATACCAAATTTTAATAATCCATGTCATGAATGGATGAATTGACAGGCACTATGTTGTTGTCATTATCCTCATCATCAGCCTAGGCCCGGACAACTGGATTATAATCTCAGTTCTGTCCCAGTGAGGCAAATGACCTTGGGACTTCATTTAACCTTTCAGGACTTCGGTCTCCTGATCTATATATAGATGTCCAAAGTCCTCTCCATGAAAAGCAGGGCCTGTGCACAGTCCAGGTGAGGAAGGGGGAGGCACTGCAGAGAGACTGGGCTGGGGCCTGGGGCATCTTACAGGACGTCTGCAAAGCGTAGCGGCGGGGGGGGGGGCATAGAACTGAGGTCTTAAGAGCCTGCACTACATCAGTGTTTCCTAGATGCTATGATTTCACAAACAGATAAACACAGATTTTTTTTAAAGGTTTCTATTGGGCCAAGATAGGTTTGCCAACTTTTTATTCTGACAATGAACAAAAACAAGAACCACTTACCTACTATCACAATCTTTCATAAAAGAAGGAAATTTTACTACCAAAATAATAGAAAGAACATAATCTTAGCATCTCCTTTAAAATGAATAGATTTGGCCCGTAAAGAAGATCTGGCAAGTGGACATCAGCGTTTCAAATATTAGGCTCTTTGAACGAGTGGGGGTAGGGAGGAGAAAAGAAGTCAAGACTCTGGACTTGGAACAGCTGGGCGGTGAGAAGGGATAGAAGCCAGCGAAGAGAAGCCAGAAGGAGCATGGCAAGGTTCCAGGAGGCAGAAGGAAGGGGGAAAGAGGATGTGAACTGAGAAAGGACCTCTAGTTTGCTAAAGAAGTGAGGTCTATTTCAAAGGACAACGTTAAGTATAAACATTTAAATGTATAAATCAAATCAAATCAATTTGGCTTTATCATGCCATTCTGAAAGCACTACCTAATTACTCCAATAAATTAAATATCAGAAATATAACCTACAGTTGAAATAATCAGATTTGCATCTCCATGAATTTATTTTTCAATGTTACTATTTACTCAAATTGGCCGGAAAATATCAGCAATAATATTACATATGAGTCACTAAAAGTTGCATATTACTTACCATTAAAGTCATAGACCACTGATTACAACTGCTTTAAACTTTAGTTTAGATAGGAATAAGTGAAAATAATCTAAAAACCAACAAGAGGGAAAAATTACATACAAACACCTTATAAGGTGATAAACTATTAGGTAGCCATTAAAAATCTTCTTTTCAGAAAAGATTTAATGATTTGTAGAAATGTTCATAAGATAATATGAAGCACACAAAGCATTACAAATTTTTATGTAATTCCTACTTTCAAAATCCTGGAATTAAAACATATCAAAAAGATAATATAGATCATCTTTGGTATTATAAATAATTTAACATTCCTTGTATTTTTCAGTATTTTATACATTTTCAATAATAAATATGCATTACTTTTATAATTAGGAGAAAACATGTTAAATAAATTTAACAAACATACTTACTCTTGGGAGTTTAGGATTGAAGTAGTTAATTACTCCAAATTCAAAATAAGATGCAAAACCCTCCTTGAGCCAGATATTGTTCCACCAATTCATGGTAACCAAGTTTCCAAACCACTTTTGGAGATGAAAGAAAAAAGGGCTTTCTTTTAAAATTATATTTATAGTAATGTATGTTAAATAAATGTAGGGTCAAAAGACATAATTAACTTTATTCACCACCAGTAATAAAATTTGAAAACAAGACTCCAAAAAGCTTGTTTTAACATGAGGAGACATCAGCCATGAATTTCTTTGAAATAATTATCTTATATCCAATGATTGAAAGCAATTTGTATTTATGATTGATTGACTGAGACAGAGTCTTGCTCTGTTGTCCAGAGTAGAGTGCATCATCATAGCTCACTGCAACCTCAAGCTTGGGTTGAGGTTCAAGGGATCCTTCTGCTTCAGCCTCCCACGTAGCTGGTACTACAGGTGCATGCCATGATGCCTGGCTAATTTTTCTATTTTTTTGTAGTGACAGGGTCTCACAATTGCTCAGGCTGGTCTCAAACTCCTGAGCTCAAGCAATCTTCCCGCCTCACTCCCAGAGTGCTAGGATTACAGGCATGAGCAACTACGCCTGGCCAGCAATTTTTGTTTTAAAACTATGATTTATAAACATAAGATCAGCTAGAGTAACATTTCTTAAACTATCCTCTTTGCCCAAAAGTTGCGTTTAGTTAAGTAAAGCAGAAGCCTTGAATGCTGACTTAACACCTACTAATTCTAGCATCTTCTACTCTAAATAGGCTACAACAGGACTTTGCTATGAGTAGTCATTTATGTTTTAAGAACATGATATGTACAATGTGCAAATCACTCAAGCAATCATATGCTCTGTAACCATGTCCAGTTGTAATTATTTTCTATTTGAGCTGAACAGAAAAAAAAAGTGCCAAAAAGATGATGAACAGAATTAGGAAAGAAAAACACAATCATTTCCAAAACCAACTAACCCATGCTCTGCTATTTAACCAAACTCTTAGAACAGCTGTGATGTACTAATAGTTAGCAGCCTGTATTCCAAAACAATGTGTCACTTAGGCTATAATGAAAAATGACACTTAAGGTGACTGATCCAAACTTGTGAAAGTGTGTGTTGACTGTGCATCAGGGTGTTATTCAGTCCTAGTAAGTTGTTCTTTTCCAGAACTTCTCATGAAGCCACATAACTAAGAAGATAACACTTTCATGATAAAGATGATTTCTTTCTTCATAAAGTTGTATTAATTACTTAGAGAACAAAATGCAGATGTGAAAATCTCCATCAAATCAAACAGCTAAACTTCTAAAATCGCAATATGAAAGCATATATGAAAGATCTGATGAAATGAATCGTTGTTTACAATACCTTTGGGGATGTTTCTCAAGGATTAATTGTTGCTCACCTCACTAACACATCACCCAAGTCTACTTAACTTCTATCCAACGCCAATAAAAAATAAAATTTATAACAATCTACTGATGAAATGCAGGTGTATTCCAGGGATCCTTTTGAATATCCCTTACTTTCAGGTGGAATGAAAACCAAATACTCCTAGCTCTGTAAGGCTTACTACAGAGGACTTTGTGGCACAAATTCAATCTTTAAATATAAATACTCAACCCTCAGCTGGACCATAAGGTCTCATCACTATAATCCACCATGGATAGCTCAAATCTAGCCAGAATCTGATTACATATAACCTTCCTTGTTTTCACTCACCATTGCACTTTCTGAAAACCGATTTTCTTTTTTAAAATTTGGTATATGACAGGGCTTTTTGCTATTTTTGGTAAAGCAGCTGGAGAATACGTTCATGGAAATAAGAAAGAACATTTTACCACATGCCTGATGTCCAATCTCATGAGAGACAATGTAGGAGATCAAAGTCTTTTTTTCTGTCAGTTGATCATTTGGTTGCAGCAACAATAATGATTCATCAAACATCAATAGACCCCAGTTTTCCATTGCACGGTTGTCAAAAATAGGCAAGGCAATTATATCTAAATGGATTTAAATGGAGGAAAAAATAAAATCATCTCTTCCAAGAAAATTTGGGATTTCCAGATATAAATATTTCAAAATGAAACCATAATATTACTGAACAACACAAGTGAATATTTATAACCTGAGGGGAGAAAAGCATTTTTAAAGACTACTGTCAAAGACAGAAGCCAGAAAATAGATTGTTTTGACTATATTAAAATAAAATATTTTCAATAAAAGACTTGTGTTCAAAATATACAAAGAAAACTCTTAAAACTCAATAATAGAAAAATAAACAACCCAGTTATAAAACAGGCAAAAGAGCTGAACAGACACCTCACTAAAGAAGATATTCAAATACCAAATAAACATATGAAAAGATGCTCAACTTCCTTTGTCATTAGAGAATTGCACATTAAAACAACAATGAGATAGATACACACTTGCTAGAATGGCTAAAATCCAAAACACTGGCAACACCAAATGCTGACAAGGATATAGAGCAACAGGAACTCTCATTCACTGCTGGTGGGAATGCAAAATGGTACAGCCACTTTGGAAGACAGTCTGACAGTTTCTTCCAAAACTAAACACAGGCTTTCCATAAGATCTAACAATGGTACTCCTTGGTATTAATCCAAATGAGCTGAAAATATATGTGCACAAAAAACCCACACAGACATGTTTATGGCAGCTTTATTCACAATTACTAAAGTTGGACACAACCATGATGCCATTCAAAAGATGAGTGGATAAACTGTGGTACATCCATACAATACACAGTATTATTCATCAACAAAAAGAAATGAACTATCAAGCTACAAAAAGACATGAAGGAGCCTTAAAGCCACGTTGCTAAGTGCAAGAAGGCAGTCTGAAAAAACTATATACTATGTGATTCCAACTATATGATATTCTGGAAAAGGCAAAACTAAAACAACAATAAAAAGATCAGTAGTTGTCAGGGATTCAGGAGAAGGGGTGGGGAAGATGAACAGGTAAAGCAATAAGGATTTTTATGGCAGTGAAACTGTTCGTATGATACTATAACGGCAGATACAAGTCATTATACATTTGTCAAAACCCATAGAACTGTACAACACAAAGAGTGAACCCTAAGGTAAGCTACAGATGTTAGTTAATAATAATGTATCAGTATTGGTTCATCAGTGTAACAAATGTAACACGTTAAGGCAAGATGTGAACAATAGAAGGAGGGAGGGGAAGGGGGAGCAGATGGGAATTCTCTATACTTTTTGCATGATTTTCCTGCAAACTTAAAACTGCCCTAAAAAATAGTCTATTTAAATTCAATACTTTAGTTCATCAAAAGACATTATAAACAAATTTGAAAGGCAGACTTCAATCAAGCAAAAATATCTGAAGCACATACGACAGGCAATTACACAATTATTATTATCATTATTATTATTATATATTTTTTGAGACAGAGTCTCACTCTGTGGTCTCAGCTAGAGTGCCTTGGCGTCAGCCTAGCTCACAGCAACCTTAAACTCCTGGGCTCAAGCAATCCTTCTGCCTCAGCCTCCCAAGTAGCTGGGACTACAGGCATGCGCCACCATGCCCGGCTAATTTTTTCTATATATTTTTAGTTGGCCAATTAATTTCTTTCTATTTTTAGTAGAGACGGGGTCTCACTCTTGTTCAGGCTGGTTTCTAGCTCCTGACCTTGAGCAATCTGCCCACCCAATATTTAGAGATCTCTGACCAATCAAAAAAGAAAAAAAGGTGAACAATTCACCAAAGAAATAATTCAAACAGTCAAAAATCTTATTTAAAATGCTCAATTTCATTCATTATCAAAAAACAAAAATTAAAATGATATAATTTAATCTTTAAATTATGTAAGATTAATAATTAGTATTGGTATAGGCATAGGAAAATTGCCACATAGCCTGTTGGTGAGGCTGTCAACTGGTACAGTAATTTCGAAGCAATCTGGCAAAATGCTTCATAATCTTTAAAAATCTTCATACATTTTGACTAAATCATTCTACTCTTGGAATTTATACTAAAGTAAATAGTATAGATATTTGTCTTTAGTGTTTTAAAAATTAGGCAAAAAAGGTGGAATCAATCCAAATATTCAGCAACAGAGGAGTACATATTCTGTCAAGTTGATATGTAAGCATTCTATGTCTTAAAAATATCAATAGAAAAGAATATTTAGTTATCTAGATCATGTTGCTGTATACTGTTTTAAAAAGCCATTCAAAGAACCATGTCAAATCTACAGTGCCATTTTTTTTGTTAAAAACAAGGAGTAAATACAATGGAAGACAGAGATTGAGATTGACAGACTTTGGGAAGATACACGCCAAAATGTCCGTCGTGGTTATCTCTTTGTGATAGTTTTACAGGAGATTTTCCTTCCCTTTTTTGTGCTTTTTTTTTCTGTTTTTCCAAATTTTCAACAATGTAATCATTCATTACTTTTATAAATAGTAGAACAATAAAAGTTTTTGTTTATTTTCTTTTTCTAGTGGAAGAAATATCACTTGTATAGTCCGTGCTACTTTTGCCTAATGAATGTTCTATGCTGTGCTAGGTTAAATGTTTAAGTTGACTTTCCACATGGCTGAAGCTGACAGTGTGCAGCAAAGTGTAACATTACACAGCCTCCACCAATTAGTGTTCTATTACCTTACCTTTGGGCATACTTAGTTGCCTTTGCCTAGGTTGCCCATCCTTCTAACCTTCCTCTTCCCCACCCACACCCACCCCACCCACTAGTCTACCCACAGAGACTGCTCTGCTCCACTCAAGTCAACTCCTTTTGTTCTCTGCCACCATTGAGTCTTTTCCTGCTCAACATTTGCTATCCAGGAAATCCTCTGCTCCACATACAAATGCTACCAATACTTGAGGTCCAATCTTACCAGATATAAGAAGGCACTTGTTATTAACCCTGATGACTATTTTCAAAACTGTTTTTTTTTTTTTACTTCGGATGCATAGAATTAGATTAAGCAGAATCCTTGTTTCTTAATAAACTATCATCACTGGTTCACACATGACCCTGCTTTACTTTATTTTAATGATTAACTTGTTATTTTAAAACAATGATAGAAACATGCACGAATCCACCACTTAACCCTTCAGAAAAGGAGTTGGCAAATTTTTCTATAAAGGGCCAGATAGTAAATATTTTCATCTTTATGGAATATGTGTTTTCTTTCGCATGCTCAACTGTGGCATCTCAGTGCAAAAGCAGTCATACACACTATGCAAGCAATTAGTGCAAGCTGTATTTCAATAAAACTTTATTTTTAGATGCTGAAATTCAATTTCATATAATTTTCATGTGTCACAAAGTATTATTCTTCTTTTGATTTTTTTTCAGTTATTTAAAAATGTAAAAAGCATTCTTAGCTCATGGGCCACACAAAAACAGGTAGTGGACCAGATTTGATAGTTTACCAATATAGACACAACATACTTTTTCCAAGACTTCAACTAGCATGCCAGAGGAGCAAAATACATTTCCATAATATTCTCAATCGAGAGAGAAAAAGCACTGAACAACTTTCTGAGCTGAGTGGCTCATACAATTTTAAAGACATACCCTACAGATATGTGAGAGGTTAAATATTTATGTGTTTCCTCAAGAATCCTACTATATTCACATATGATTCCAATTTTACACAATGAAAATTCACATATGGGACCTCTAAGTCTTAATCCAATAACTCACAGCTACAGCATATTAAAAAAAAAAAAAAAAACTTACCGAAGGGAACTGGAGTAACTTATGCAAACCCACTAGCTAAAGAGATCCAGAACATGGCATTGCATATTTGCATTATGAGAGAAAAGGTAAGAAAACAAGAGAAAAAGTAGGGTATGGAGGAGGAGAGGCTGCCATCAAGACCCAAGAGGAATCTAAAATCTAAGAGATGTTCAACACCTGCTGGGCACATGGCACCAAACAAAAGAAGAGCAAGGTTTAAGACAATGAAGGGAGGCCAAGAGGCTAACTCCAAAATAGCAGCTAAGCGGTGAGGGTGGGTCCTCAAAGGCTCATCTGCATACCCTGTGACCTCAACCCAGGACCCACCAAACAGGAAACCAATTGCACGGGAAGGGAAGGTGCCTCACCTGTCTTTGGAAGAGGGTAACTGATATTAAATAAATCCTCCAGAAAAGAGAAGATGGGACCTGTGATGTTCAAAGCAAAGTCTGCACTTCCACTTGCAATGGCATCTTTCCGGGCCCAGATGCGTATCTAAAATAAAACAATTAGCAGTAATTAGGAAAGGCAGTAGTGATTTTGGAAAGTGGAAGCCTGCTTGCTCCAAATCCCTGCTGCTCTAGAGCTAAAGTCTTAACCTTTTCAGAAGAAGCTACATAATGCATACATGTGCTGAGAAACCCCTAGAAGGCTGTTCCCCAAGTTATAAACAGTGATTGCTCTGGAAAGTGTGTTATTTCAATCTGACAATGACATGCATGACTCTGAAATTACAAAACAATCCTTGGCATGGTCCACATCACCATCTACTCCCACAGTAAATGTAGATTCTATGTATATTTTATGCACCTTGGACTCTTGCTTCCCTTTTCGGGACACATTTCTAAGATCCAAAACAGAATTGTGACTTAGTAGGGGTTAAAGAGTATGGAACATATTAAGCAAATTTGAATCATGCAAATTTAAAATAGTTTGATAACTAAAGCATTAATAATCCTACCTTATTTCCAAAACTTGAAATCAGGTTAATTCCCCTAATTTAAAAAAGACCATCAAGAGTGTTATGATTTTAAAGCTGAAGCAAGTGAATTATATTTGCTGGTTATTTTTTCTATTGCCAAATGACACTTCCACTTCAGCATGGAAAAGAAAATCTCTGCTATATTCTGTCAGTTTTAGGTAATCACACTGTTGTTTGAGTACTTGGAACTTATCTGTGTGATTTTGGTGACTAGTATGCTGTTGTTTTAACATTATTATTGTAATATGAAAGCACTTTATATTCTACAACAATATCATCTAAACAGTTTTCAATAGAATTGCCAGCATTCATGCCAAAACACATGCATAAAACTCAAAAACCTTGGAACAAAATTTAGAGGTGAAAGAATTAAAATATTTGTCCTGATGGGAGTGCAGTTAATTTAGAAAGAGCTCTCTGCAAAACACTGGAGAAAATGCTAAGAAAAGGAAAAGCAGAATAACATTTGCAGATTTGTGCATTCCAAAGTGCCTTCACCTTACTTTGCTTTTTATTTCTTCTGGGAAATTTGTCATGAATTATACGTGAGGATTCAAGAATGCTCCCCTTTCACAAAATGCAACCACCTGTTTCTGAGACTCCTGCCTGGACCCCTTCATTGCCTTCAGCCTCCCCCCTACTGCAGAGGCCTCATTGTGCTGGGAAAGGTGGCCCCAGACTTGGCCCTGCCCCTACACTAAACTCACCCTCCCCTGTTCCAGTTCTGACTTTGGAGGCGACCGTTAGGAAGCCTCTCAGCCAAAGGCCACACTAGTGGAAATCATAGCCCTCCCCACAGTTGAGATGATGTGTGCATTTTAATGTCAGCCTTTTGGAAAATAATAGCAATAACAATTAATATGTCTACATTAACTTTCAGTTTACAAAGCTCCTCCCATAAATTACCACCCTCTAAGCCAAAAGTGAGACAAATGATGAAGATTTCAAACTGGAGGAAAGGGTAGGTGGCTCCTGGCAGAGCAGTGAGGAACACAGACCAACAAAGACCATTTTGGAGACGCAGCTGTAAAGTTCCTTCAGAAGCACACCTGGTCCAACCAGTGTGTCCTGGTGTCCTGCCCTAGGCACAGCGGATCTTGACATCCAAAACAAGCACATCTTTGCAAACACCCATGTGCACTAGATTCTACTCAATGTATGTTATTTCCTTGCCTACTTACATGTTTCCTCTGTTTATCCTCACACCACACATTTTTTATTTCACTAAATCCTGATCTCTTACTTAAAGACCAACTTTTTTATAGTCTGGACACTATTCCCCGCATACATTTGGGTTTCCTGTGGAGTATATGGTAGACTCATTCACTTTGTAGAACTGAGCCACAGCCAAATGCAACATTCCACTGATAAGCTCACTCCAAACTTCATTTTGCTGGCAAAACATGACTTTCTTAGGCATGCTCCATTTCCTCTCTGCTGTATGGAAGCTGGCATTCTTTTCAGGATGATCATTACAAAGAAACAGATTTTATCCCTGTACAAGAATTGTTGACTGTGCAGCAGTACTGATCACAACAAGCCACTCGGGATCTGGATGCTGAGGGACCACCTGGGGTCTGTCACCAGCTCTGGCAGCCAGAGGGCCCACTCTCTCTTGCCCGCCTTGAAGCACTTGCTTCCAATTCATGCCTGAGAAGATTTAACAGTATCTGTCATGAATGTTTGCCTTGGCCAATGTCATATCTGTGAATGTCAAGGATCTACAGTAACTATTCAATGAGGAAAATCAGGCTGGGGCCAACAGCTTAGGAAGATAACAAGCTGTAACTAATAATAACACAGTATTACTAATTCATCATTAGGTTACAAGGAGCGTAGGAGGTGTAGCTTTAAGTGATTCTCCTGCTGCTGAAGGGCTTGGCTCGGCACAGCTTCCTTGTCTCCACATGTCAGTGGGGTGAGCCTGGAAGATCTAGGGCCCAGGGGGATTCTTAGCCAGTTACAGAGCTTGATTTTTCTCAGCCCCATGAAGCTGATGTGACTAGAAAGACCTGGGCCTAAGGCACTGACCTCACTTACCTCCACACTTTATGATAAGGAATGAACCATTATATGAAGCATTGCCACAATTAACTCAATATTTGCCTAAAGGGTTGTTATATAGCAAGGGTATAATTGAGTGAAAACTAGGCATTTCAAGACAGATACACACTTTACACAACTCCGGGAAAGTGTTACACAACTCAGAGCTGAGGAACATGGCAGCCCAGCTTCTGGGTAGAGATGACATTTATTTAACCTGCACGCACCATTTCAGCCACAGCAGGTGCTGCTGGCTGGTGTCTTGCTCAGGCCATACTGGCTGCCAAACATTTTGAGTATCACCTCAGCTTCACAAGTACATCAACACCGTGGCCTAGGTAAACAACACGTACTAAACCTGAGTCAAAGTGCCAATGCAGCAGCTCTCCTGGTTCTCTCCCCTCTTCTGCCAAAGTAGAAACAGGCTGGAAATGGGGGGCTCAGACTGGGCCTTGAGGAGTGGGTTTAATGTGCAGTCTTTCCATGGAAACTCCTCCACAGAGCCACAGTGGGAAATGCTATGCCCAAGTCTGCAAGCCACACTAATAGCTGTCACAGGGCATGGGAGAGAGAACCAGGAAGTGACAGTGGGATATGCAGGCATAACGCCTGGATGCAGGAAGAGTAGATGAACATCTGCAGCCAGTACATTCTCCCTTACCTACAGAATCTTCCTTACTCACCTCCTTGCCCCTTTCGGTTCTATTGACAGGGTCACAGTCACAGATAGCAAATGCGGCTAAGTAAGTTGGCATGTAGGGCGTGGTGTAAAAGGTAGAAACGGTCCATTTGCTTCCATTCACATCTTCTTTTTCAGTCTGACCTAGAGAAATTTATTTCAGTCCAAATCACTGTGAACCTAAACAATAATATCTATCTGTCTAATAATTTGTCAATTGTCACCCAGCTACTCCTTTCCTACCACTTTCCATAGTCTGTCCAGCAGTTTGGATTTCTCCACCTACCCCTAAGACATGAAAACTACTACATCAGAAAGATCTGAGAACGGCATCTTAGGTCTGAAGCAGCATCTTGAGTAATAGGGCTTGACTGAGGGCCAAGTCCATGGGCACTGTGAGCTCAGCCCCTGATCTGCCTCCTCTCTCCCACCCACTTCTATTGTTTCCTAGCCCAGCCCATTTCTCACAACACTTGACCTAGAGCTGCCCAGGCCCACAGTAGGTCAACAAGGTACAGTTCTACCATTCTCAGGTTTCGGTTAGGTCCTTAGTGCAAGCAATCTGGGGCCTTTAAAGCTGAAATCACAAATTCAAATGCCTACTCAGGCACTGGATGTGAAATGGACCGGTGTGCACTAACAGGGAGTGGGGGGGACCACAGCAAGTTGGGGAGCACAGGCCCAGTCTGCAGGAGGCAGCCTCCTCTTGGCTGTAACTGATCACTGACACATAAGCATTGTAGGTTCAGTGTTGTTAGACCTTCTGAGTTTTCAAGGAAGTAAAACTTTAGATGTTTATGTAAAATCTCTGGATTTTTTTTTAAGTCAGAAACTAATTCCATCAAAAGCAAAAAGTCATATGAGTTAAATAAAACACATCTGTGCACCAGATTCAGACTAAGTTCACCAGCTTGTTATCGCTAATGATCAATAGCGGAAACCAAACAACTGAGCAGGCAGGCTGCCTATATATTAATATAAGAATAGTATAATGTCCCCAGCTTCTAATACAAAAAGAATCAAGATTTGCCATATCCAAGATGTGGGTGGTGACACATGCCCCGGGTGACTGCTCTCCCTAATTATAATAGACTGCAATTGCAATACACCACTAACACTGCTTAGAAAAGCTATTGATGTATAAGCTATTACTAGATATACATATTTCATGGTATTAAGTATATAATGAAAAGAAGCATATACTTACCTAGCTTTGGCATGTTGGAAAGGGCCACATAACTTGGATGATGAATAATTGTGATATTAAAAGTTGCCTTCAGAGCTGGCTCATCAAAACAAGGGAAAACATTCCTGGCAAATGTTGGTTCCATCTGAGATGCTAGCAGGACCCTGAAATACATTTTTGGGGAAGACTTCATTTATTTTTATCTCAAATCAATGGAATAAAAACAACATATTGAGAGATTATGGCTTCTAAGTAAACCTGGTATGCAAAAAGGAGTTTTCCCCTCATCTTCCTCCCTGCTGTCCCAAAGCACACACACCATTCTCACTGCACCACAGAATTCTTGTAAGACCAAAACCTCAAAAGAACTCTTTAATTTTCAACCACAAAATAATATCTGCTTCATTACATCATAAACCTTTAAAACCTTTTACAAACAAAATAAGTACAAATCTAGCAAAAATGCAGCACCCGTCTCTTGAGAACCAGGTCTTTTCTAAACTAGGATTGCTTCTTTGGGAATGTCTATCACCTTCATCCTCCACTAATGCGCAAGCCGCTTCAACTTTTTCTTTTTCTCACACATTCCTTGTTTTTCTTAGTGGAAAACTTACAATACGTTTTATTTTGGACACCCTTGGGGCTTAAAAACAATATGGGTACGTGCCAATTGAGCAAAACACTTTCAATTATATATGGGTAAATTTGTCAAATCCCTGCTGCTTCTTCCTCCATCTCCATGGGAAAATGCAAAGACTGACATTGTCCCACAGTGCACTGGAGATTTATATGGAAAAGCTTAAGGACAAGAATACCCTGAGTAAATATGAAGATGTCAGGTTCACTCTCTGCCAACACTGCCCAAGTCTGTCGAAAGTGTGGGTCCCAGCATACATCTTTCTCCTCCAAATAAACCTGCAGTCTCATGGGCCCATTTGCCAAGACCCGCTGACTTGGGAATGTGTCTTTAGATGACAATTGTAGATGCTAAATTCCTTTTTCAGCTAAGGTCCTGAGATGTGAAGTCTCTGATACATTTGCCTTTGCTTCCAGCCCAATTCTTAGGTACATAAAAGGTGATTTTAACAAAGATATCTCGAGAGAGTGTGTTCCATCCATTACTCACCTCTGTGAACCCCTTCTTCACCATGATAAGGCCCTGCTCACACAAAAACTGACACAGGCTTAGGAAAGACACATAGGACAGTGGACACATTCAAAAACCTCTCACAATCAGCTGATTGGAGGTGTCCGTAACCTTCACTATAGTTTCCAATAAGCCTGTTTTGCCCTATTTGCTGTTGCCCACTATACTAAACTCTGGCTTGCATAGCCTGGGAAGAGGCCTGTGGGCTCTGACACCAGCCACTTCGGCTGCAAGACCCCTGCTCCATCCACTACCAACTGGGCAATCACAACGGGGCAAGTCACATAATCATGCTAAGCCTCAGTTTCCCTACCTAGAAAATAATGACGCCATCTCCTTTGCATTGCTCTTTGAGCCTTTATCTTACCGGTAACTAAATTTATCAATAATTCACCTTTGAATTCTCTGATATTCCTCACAAATCATTCTTGATACAGATGAGCTATAGAGGAAATCAAAGAGGGATAGGTTACAGGATGGGTTGGTTGTAGGGCTGAAATCACTAAGAAAGGTCCCAGGAGTTACAGCTGATTGCAGACTGAATAAGAATCATCTTTGTCTCCCCAATAAATTTTAAACTACTAGAAGTTAGAGCTGATATATTTTTTTTTCTTCTGTGTGATTTATAACACTTGGCAAAAATAGGCATTCATAATAATTGAATATTTGCTCAGCCTTGGAGTTACAATAAAATAAGCAGCTTGATATTAGTATATACAAAAGAATACAAAGTACTTCTGCAGAGTATGTTACACTGGCATTTGTTATGTTGTAGTTTTGGTTGTAGTCTTTAAGGGGGAATGGGACCAAGTAGAAAAGATTCAGGCAGTTGACAATATGTTGGAAAGAATATTGAACAGGAAATTCAGCCACCTGATTTCTCGCTCAGGATCTGCAGCATAGACACAGTTGTATAACTCTGGGAAAGTTGCATAAACTTTCTAGACATTCATGTCCATAAAATGCAGGGCTGGGGTGAGATGTCTCAGGCCACTTAGGGCTCTTAAACTATGATTCTAAGAGGGATAAAGATATCTAATGGGATGGAAAAAGAGCCCATGAGGTGGCCATGACTGAGTCATCTAGAGTTGGGAGAAAGTCCCCTTGGGGGTTCATGCATGGCATTTGGGAGGTCTTTGAACCCTCTGAAATTGTAAGACATTCTGTACAAATATTAACATGAAAAAGTGTCGTACAGAGTGAAAAAGCACATGTAATTGTATCATACATGTTTATATATTTGGAAAGCCAACAACTGCCTATTGTTTTTGTAACAGAAACTATAGAAAGTAAAAGCTTGAGAATACCTTCTCTGCTGTCATGACTTCACAAAGTGCATAAATCTCAAGGGTGCTGCAAGGTGGAGAGCAGGGAGAAAATTAGACTCTTCAAGGAAGTGGAAAACTTTTATACTATGGGTTCAGAAAGACTACAAGATACCAGCTTAGAGGGCTGCCATTTCAGCAAATCAAACAAGTACCTTTCAATCCCATGATTCAGGTCTTAAAGTATCTTGGATTATATTCAACTATTTCCATCCCTGGCCTTATATAAACAAACGAAAAGTTAGGGGGAAAAAATCCCTACAACACAAAGCTTTTTGGCTCTCAACTTCAATTGCGAAGGTCAGGGCCAAGCAGCAGCACAGATGATCTGGTTACACCACGTCTGGGTCCTCAGGGTAGTGTTCCTTTCCCTTCTCTCCCTGCTTTGGGCCGCAGCAATCCTGTAAGTATATCCTGACCTCAGAAAATAGAAGCATTCACCCCCTCTCCTTCCTTCAGATCTCACTGAAACATGCTATTATGCTGCCCATTAGGTCTGTGTTTAGAATGGTCAGCTGGCGAGGGAGTTAATTTGGGAAAATTTGCCTCCTAGGGGCTCAGTATTGCAGAGCCACTTTCCTGCCCTCTTGTCTAGAAAGACAATTATGGACTCATCACTTCCTTGTGTTAGAAAATATCTTTGTGGTCAAGAACCACATGAAGTCCTTGGGGAATCAATCTACTACCGCACAAAAAAATATCTACTACACCTACTCAGTATATTGCATTCCAAATTATTTTATGATTTCCGTATGCCTATAGCTCCAGTTAATGAGTGCTAAATAGCACAGCTGGTCAAGGATTAAGTAAAAGTCTCAGGAAAAGTTGTCTCTCCCCTCAATATTTTTACACAATAACACACTCAGAAGTAAAAATATTTAGTAGAGCCAGATGTTACACCACTGGACTATGGTTCAAGGATTGGCTCATGAATAATGTTTGTTTATTGCTTGTGTAATAGGATCTGGAAGCTGAAGTCTCTACCAAGTAACAGAACATAATAGATATAAAATTCCAAAGAAAGGTGCCAAACCGTGTTATGAAGATTTTCAAAGTAAATGACCTTGAGAACCTTCTCAGCTAGATCAAGGTCGTAGAAGAAGGGTCAGGGAAGGGAGACAAAATAGATCAGAAGAGATATCTCTTGGTGGGTGGAGGGGGAGGGATGCACATTATTTTGCCAAGCCTTCCATGCTCTTAGGAAGTTGGGGGGAGGTGCCACCCTCCAACCCTGGGCTAGGAGGAGAAGATCCCTCAGAGAGCAAAAGTGTTTCCTGAGGCTGAGAGGCTTAGAAGCTCAACTCACTTTTGAGAAAGCTGAAACTGACAGTGTTGCCAGTGTCTAACTCCTACTAGGTGGGAGTCTAAAAGGCAAGAGAATGGCTGACTGCTTTGGAGGCACAGCCAGGACAGCACTGCTGCCTTGGGATTCATGGCAGTCCCGGGCAAGGGATCTCTGAGTGCTCCTTGGAAGAGCTGTGGGCCTTGAGACACAGAGTGAGCCAGTATGGGGACTGTCTCGGGTCCACCCAATAGAGCCACCTAGTGAGGAGCTTGGAGATCCACTACTCTATGTCCAAGGGATGAGGAAGGAGTCACAGTGACCATGAGAACACAGAAATAAGGGAAGCATCCTGCAGGGGGAGGGGAATGGTAGGAGAAAACAGAAAAACTCTGAAGAGCCCTGGAAAATGACATCATCTTAAGTGGAAAAGGCATCTGCAAGGCCAGAGTTAAGACCAAATGACAAGAGTATCCGTTCAAGTAAGAAGTGTCCTATGTGTCACCCCTCCTTGTCACCCCCAGCCCCACTGGACTCTTCTGGGGTCAAAACAGCAGCCATCAAGAGGGTCAGGGAAGACTACAAATATGAGGTGGAGAAAGAAAAAGGACCACTGCCCCTACCTTACTGCACGCTTCCATCCTGAAGCCAGCAGAGAGCGGGGAAGTGAGGATGGAGGTAGGAGAGAGGGAGATTTAACAATAAATTAAGTATAAAGTTTTGAGTATTACACAGGCCTGGATTTTCTAATTTTTATATGTACTATGTTTGTGACTTAAACTATGGATCATCTGTCACCTAAGAATAAGCTGGAAATTATGGACTGCTGGAGTCTTCATGCAAGAGCAGGAAGGATTACCCACAGACTAGACTTCCCACTGTAAAAGGACATTGGGAAAAACAAAGTTGCCTTTTTACTGAATTATGAGGTGTACTTTTTCAATATGCTAGTTATACTCATTCTGAAAAGATACAGAATCTTAATCTTTGGTGAGCAAAACCGTCTCCCAGAGAGAACTGCTGAGCCACATGAAATATGTGAGTTTGACACCTCTGTAGGATAATGCAATGAGGTCTTCCCTCTGTGACTCCGATAACATCATGTGCCTGGCACTTGAGTCCCCTGACCTTGTTTTGAGACTTTTAAATTCTTTCCTAATATTGCTCAAATTTCTCTCTTGTGTGTCATACCTAAGCACCATGCCAGATTTCCTAGTATAAACAGCAAGTGCAAGGAAGTCTTTTTCAATTCTCTGTTCACTCCATCTATACCTGCACAAGTTGATTGATTTTGATCATGCCGCTTTTACCTTTGTTTGTCCCTCCAAAAGAACTTAATTTTACCAAACTCTTTCACATTTTTCTCCCTCGATCATTCTATTTTTGTTTCTCTAAGTATCTTCCAATTCC